AGAAAAGAGGGGAAGGGGAAGGCGGGGGAAGAGGATGGAGAGGCGGGTGGTTCTTGGGAGTTGGACGGGGGGGGGGGTTGAAGGTGGATGGGTTTTTGGTGATGGGTTAGGGGAGGGGCAGGCTGAGTTGGGTGGTGGACGAGGGGGGAGTGGAGGTGGAGGGTTTCTTGGTGCTGAGTTAGGGGGGAGGTGGGCTAAATGAGCAGGAGGGGGGGGTGGAATACTTATGGGGTTAGAGGAGGGACGGGTGGATTTTGTGGGTAAATTTGAGTTGGACGCCCTAGGTGGCTTTGGAGGTACGTATGGGGAGTAGTTTTGAATGTTAGATAGGACTCTTGATCTGGCTACAGTGGGTGTGAGAGGAATAGTCTTCATCGCCGATCTTATCATGCCTGCCGAGTGTTCCGGTAATTCCAGTAGTGAAGGCGGGGATAGAAAACAAAGGGAAAGGTCGTCCTCATTTTCCCTAGATGGAGTGGATGTAGCGGGGGGGACCCAAGCCGGGTCCATGGAAGGTGATGAGGGAGTCTTTGGTGGAGACAGAGGTGGTTGAGGAACCCCCAGTACAGGCCTGTCTGTAGCCTGGAGCAATGGGGGAAGCTTCACGGGAGCTGTAGGTGGGGAAGGTGCTGCTGAAGATGATGGAGCAGCCACTGCTGCTGCTGAAGATGATGGAGCAGCCACTGCTGCTGCTGTATCCACTGCTGCTGGTGGTGCTGTATATGCTGATGGCGCTGATGAAGATGTGGCAGCTGCTGATGATGCTGGTGGTGGAGGCGTTGAGCTCTTTCGGAGCCGTTGAGTTCTTTTGGAACCTTGGAGGTGTTGAGTTCTTCTTGAATCGTGGAGGTGTGGAGTTCTTTTGAGGCGGTGGGGGTGCAGAGACCTCGGGAGTCGGTGGAGATGGTCGTGATGTCTGTGCCCTTGCTTCTTTCTCCCTTTCGACTGTATGATGTCAGTTAGTGTGTGTGTGACGTCAGTTGGTGTGTGTGCCTGACGTCAGTTGGTGTGTGTGACGTCAGTTGGTGTGTGCGATGTCAGTTGGTGTGTGTGACGTCTGTCTGCGTCAGTGATATAAACCCATCCAACCCTAACACACACAGCAGCAGGTTGGAGTATTCTGGCGACATCTAGTGGATTAAAATTAAATGACGTGAGTTGAAGCCAGTGCTGCTGAGATAATTGTGTGTCTGAGGTTCAGTTGTGTAGCTCTACAATTATCTCAGTGTGTAAACAAAGGAATGAAACTTTCTGGTGTAAACTATTGCTTTAAGCAGCAATGACAACTGTCTGTTTTTTTGTCGTGTGACTACTGAGCTGTCAATCAGAGCCCAGACCACGCCCACCTCTCAGCCCCCCTTCTTGTCCCTTGGTCCTCGGGCAACGCCCTTTTTAGAGAAAATTATGAAATGTTCATGTGGGCGGAGTCAAGCTGAGCACAGGTGTTTAGTCGCTCTTTAAATCATCGACCGGTGTTGTATTTTTGGAGACCATGTAGATTTGTCTGAATCATTTTAATAAGATGAGAGCAGAGCAGCTCTTTCAACTGTGCCAAAATGCCTGTGCGAAGAACCATTTGTGTATCTCAGACTTATAGATCTGGTCACTCTCTCTGGTCTCTCTCTCTCTCTCTGGTCTCTCTCTCTCTGGTCTCTCTCTCTCTGGTCTCTCTCTCTCTGGTCTCTCTCTCTCTGGTCTCTCTCTCTCTGGTGTCTCTCTCTCTGGTCTCTCTCTCTCTGGTCTCTCTCTCTCTCTGGTCTCTCTCTCTCTCTGGTCTCTCTCTCTCTCTGGTCTCTCTCTCTCTGGTCTCTCTCTCTCTCTGGTCTCTCTCTCTCTCTGGTCTCTCTCTCTGGTCTCTCTCTCTGGTCTCTCTCTCTGGTCTCTCTCTCTGGTCTCTCTCTCTGGTCTCTCTCTCTCTGGTCCCTCTCTCTCTGGTCCCTCTCTCTCTGGTCTCTCTCTGGTCTCTCTCTCTGGTCTCTCTCTCAGGTTGGATAATCAGAGGTAATAATCCAGGACAATCAGAAGAATCATGTAGAGCTGTAACTAACGATTATTATAATAATCGATTAATCTGACGATTATTTCTTCGATTAATCGATTAATTGGATAAAGTATTTTCAGTTTCCGTCCCGTGATTAAAAACCTTGGATCAACACAAATGTGTGCTCTGCAGTATAAAGAAACAGGTTCTGTTGTTTAACCCAAAGATCAGTTAGACAAGACTCGTTTGTGTAATGAAGTCATTTTAGGGTAATTATACGCTGTTGAGTGATTAAAAACATTTGACATATTTATTTCAAAGGCTGTAACTTAAAAGTGACAGAGATAAAGACTTTCTGTAAATTACAGAATTATTAAAGATGGCCAAAAGTTTATGTAGAATAAGTGTACCATCTAATTAGCATATTATGACGTCATATGGCGCTGGAAATAGTGGATTTTAGAATTTTCAGAAAATGTGTCTCCCCCGCTCTCTCTCGCGCGTCTCCCCCGCTCTCTCTCGCGCGTCTCCCCCGCTCTCTCTCGCGCGTCTCCCCCGCTCTCTCTCGCGCGTCTCCCCCGCTCTCTCTCGCGCGTCTCCCCCGCTCTCTCTCGCGCGCGTCTCCCCCGCTCTCTCTTGCGCGTCTCCCCCGCTCTCTCTCGCGCGTCTCCCCCGCTCTCTCTCGCGCGTCTCCCCCGCTCTCTCTGGCGTCTCCCCCGCTCTCTCCTCTCCCCCGCTCTCTCTCCTCTCCCCGCCCTCTCCTCCGCTCTCTCTCTCATCTCCCCCGCCCTCTCTCTCGTCTCCCCCGCCCTCTCTCTCCTCTCCCCCGCTCTCTCCTCTCCCCCGCTCTCTCCTCTCCCCCGCTCGCTCTCCTCTCCCCCGCTCGCTCTCCTCTCCCCCGCTCGCTCTCCTCTCCCCCGCTGGCTCTCTCCTCTCCCCCGCTCTCTCTCCCCTCTCCTCTCCCCGCTCTCTCTCTCCCCGCTCTCTCCCCCCCGCTCTCTCTCCTCTCCCCGCTCTCTCTCTTCCCTATCCTCTCCCCTGCCCGCTCTCTCTCTCCCCTCCCCCGCTCTCTCTCTCCTCTCCCCGCTCTCCCCCGCTCTCTCTCTCCTCTCCCCCGCTCTCTCTCTCTCCTCTCCCCCGCTCTCTCTCTCTCTCCTCTCCCCCGCTCTCCCTCTCTCTCCTCTCCCCCGCTCTCTCCTCTCCCCTGCCCTCTCTCTCCTCTCTCTTCTCCCCTGCTCTCTCTCTCCTCTCTCTTCTCCCCTGCTCTCTCTCTCCTCTCTCTTCTCCCCTGCTCTCTCTCTCCTCTCCCCTGCCCTCTCTCTCCTCTCCCCTGCCCTCTCCTCTCCCCTGCTCTCTCTCTCCTCTCCCCTGCTCTCTCTCTCTCCTCTCTCTTCTCCCCTGCTCTCTCTCTCCTCTCTCTTCTCCCCTGCTCTCTCTCTCCTCTCTCTTCTCCCCTGCTCTCTCTCTCCTCTCTCTTCTCCCCTGCTCTCTCTCTCCTCTCTCTTCTCCCCTGCTCTCTCTCTCCTCTCCCCTGCCCTCTCTCTCCTCTCCCCTGCCCTCTCTCTCGTCTAACACCAGACAAAGTCTTCTCCAACACGTTACTGTCCCGGTGAAGGCGGGAGGCACGATAATACATCTGTGGGAGGCACTATTTGTGGAGATTTTACCGGAGACTAGCAGAGGCTGGAGTCGCGGCCCCCCCCAGACGTGACTTCCAGGCTTGTTCTCCGCAAATCTAACCTGTCTCCGAACCTCCCAATGACAGCCCTAACCCTGAGAAACACTGTTCCCACTGACTCTGTGCTGTGTCTAAAGTTAGTGCGGTACAACACTGGCACGCTTCCTTCACTATTCTGCACTGGTCCAACGCCGTCTTGATCAAATGAACGCCTCCACTGTAGACTGTATGACCACCTTCGCCACACTCTTCTTCTTCTGTGGAGTTTTACGGCAGTGTGCATGCAGTGTTGTGTAGTTCTGTGGTGCATGTGCGTCCGTCCACCCAACCACAGAACTACAAGAATGCGCCCAACTCACGCGCTCGGTGACGTATTAATCACGCGACACAACGAATCGAAATTCGTTGCCAACGCTTTTAATAATCGATTTTTATCGATATTATCGATTCGTTGTTGCAGCCCTAATCATGTTACAGATTATCACCGGTGAATCACAACATGCCAATTTCAATGTTTCTTCCTCATTTCACCAAATCACATGTTTCTCACCAAGTTTAGTGAGGTCAAGAGCCTTCATTACCGCTTGCGGGTGTAAAAGTTTTTTGCAGCGGTGAGCGTTGGCCTGGCGTCGTCCTGAGTCCTGCAGCAGTTTGGTAAAATCTGGATTTAGAGCTGGGTTTAGAGCTCAGGTCAGAAATGTGTAAGTCCAGCTGCTTGGACTGAGACTGAACTGGACCAAAGACCTGAGTGATGTAGACTCTGGTTATGATTAATCATGTCGTAAATAAATACTCTGGTTTTATTGATCCAATAAATATATTTTATAACACTATGAGACACACTGACACTACACTCTGATGTCCACTAGGGGGCCACATGAGGGACCAGAGAGAGACCATAGAGACCAGGGAGAGACCAGAGAGCGGCCAGAGAGAGGCCAGAGAGAGAGACTAGAGAGAGGCCAGAGAGAGAGACCAGAGAGAGAGACCAGAGAGAGACCAGAGAGAGACCAGAGAGAGACCAGAGAGAGACCAGGGAGAGGCCAGAGAGAAAGACCAGAGAGAGAGGCCAGAGAGAGAGACCAGAGAGAGACCAGGGAGAGGCCAGAGAGAGAGACCAGAGAGAGACCAGAGAGAGACCAGGGAGAGAGACCAGAGAGAGGCCAGAGAGAGACACCAGGGAGAGGCCAGAGAGAGAGACCAGGGAGAGGCCAGACAGAGAGACCAGGGAGAGGCCAGAAAGAGAGACCAGAGAGAGACCAGGGAGAGGCCAGAGAGAGAGACCAGGGAGAGGCCAGAGAGAGAGACCAGAGAGAGACCAGGGAGAGACTATAAGCTCACCATGCAGTGTCCACGCAGCAGCAGGGGGGAGATCTCGCTCACTGGTGGGGAGTAGCCGTAGTCGTCGCAGGGCAGGTCTCCTCGACGGCGCCGCCCGGTGGCCACTCCGTTCTGACCGTAGTTACGAGGACAGAGGACACGGTAAAGACAGAAGAGAAGAAGGACGAGGGCAACACCAGCGGCAATACCCAGGGCTGCAACTCTGTGAAGGGGGAGGGAGAGAGAGAGGGAGGGAGAGAGAGGGGAGAGAGAGAGGGGAGAGAGGGAGACACAGAAACATCATTAACATTTTACTGTAAATGGAAAATGAATGAGTCCAGGGTTTGTTCTGTTCCACAGGTTGTTGTGACACAGACGGTAGACGTATATATTGCGGTATAATCTGGGACACAGACGGTAGACGTATATATTGCGGTATAATCTGGGACAGACGGTAGACGTATATATTGCGGTATAATCTGGGACACAGACGGTAGACGTATATATTGTGGTGTAATCTGGGACACAGACGGTAGACGTATATATTGTGGTGTAATCTGGGACACAGACGGTAGACGTATATATTGCGGTATAATCTGGGACACAGACGGTAGATGTATATATTGTGGTATAATCTGGGACACAGACGGTAGATGTATATATTGTGGTATAATCTGGGACACAGACGGTAGACGTATATATTGCGGTATAATCTGGGACACAGACGGTAGACGTACAGTGCCTTGCGAAAGTATTTGGCCCCCTTGAACCTTTCAAAATTTTACCACATTTCAGTCTTCAAACATAAAGATATAACATTTTAATTTTTTGTCATGAATCAACAACAAGTGGGACACAATCGTGAAGTGGAACGAAATTTATTGGATAATTTGACATTTTTTAACAAATACAAAACTGAAAAGTGGGGCGTGCAATATTATTCGGCCCCTTTACTTTCAGTGCAGCAAACTCACTCCAGAAGTTCAGTGAGGATCTTTGAATGATCCAATGTTGTCCTAAATGACTGATAATGATAAATAGAATGCACCTGTGTGTAATCAAGTCTCCGTATAAATGCACCTGCTCTTTGATAGTCTCAGGCTTCTGTTTAAAGCGCAGAGAGAACCATGAAGACAAAGGAACACACCAGGCAGGTCCGAGATACTGTTGTGGAGAAGTTTAAAGCCGGATTTGGATACAAAAAGATTTCCCAAGCTTTAAACATCTCAAGGAGCACTGTGCAAGCAGTTATATTGAAATGAAAGGAGTATCAGACCACTGCAAATCTACCAAGACCCGGCCGTCCCTCCAAACTTTCATCTCAAACAAGGAGAAGACTGATCAGAGATGCAGCCAAGAGGCCCATGATCGCTCTGAATGAACTGCAGAAAATCTGGGACACAGACGGTAGACGTATATATTGTGGTATAATCTGGGCAAGGGCGTAGGTTTGCGTGGGGACCATGGGGACATGTCCCCACCAATATTTGGTGAGGACTAAAAAGTCCCCACCAAAATGACATGATGTCCCGGGACCCGGACGGTCCGGGACACATGTCTTCCGTTTGTGCATACGTCGCGCCTCCTCCTCGCCTCCAGAGCAACAGCAGCAGCAGCACGTGACCCGTTCCGTTCTCTGCAGTGATTGGCTGTCTTCTTCAGCGCCAAACTGAAGCACTGAGCGACTGTTTAATTTTTAAAAGTTAGCCAGTGTGAAGCAAGTGTTTTTTTTCGTTCCCTGAGCGTTGTAGCACGTGAGTAATCAGAAGAAAGTACTGTAGATCTATTACCATTCAAAGTACTTACGTTATTTCTAATCTGTCAGCGCACTGTTTAATGTTCCGAGGAGCTCACACGGCACAGAGACAGAACAGAACTGGCTCCAATAAAGAAACAGGTTGGTTGAAAGGCTGAGAAAAATACTTATTGTGCTCTTACTATCCAAAATGTATAAGTGGGTGTGTTGTGTGAATCAGGATAAACTAGGGATGAAAGTATTCCACGGATCCACGATTTACAACCTTTATCTGCTGATAATGTAATTTCTGTGAAATGTGTGACAGCGGGCACTTGCTGTTATTTGCTCTAAGCACATTCAAGCGATGCACTCGAATGTGCACGTCCTGGTGCAGCTGCTGCCGCTTTGTAATGACAGCCGCGGCGCTCAGTGAAAGCACAGCTCTAACATGGTACCGAGCTCGGACCATATGCAATCCAATCCAATCCAACATCTTTTGATGTTCCAAGATGGCGCCGGTGTGTCTGGTACGCCGCTTGGCTCTGCTCAGCTCTATTTTTGTTTTATGTTGATTTTAACATCTGTCACAAGGACCATCGACTCACTGCTGGTGTATAATCGTCAAGAATTGCTCAATCTAAAAGAAACGGTGCAATTGTGTACTATACGTGAGGCAAACAACAAGTCAGGTTCATTCTACCTGGCCGACCTGCCTGAGCACCTCCTCAGGGTGCATGTGCCGCTGCCCAGGAAGCGTAAACGCCGAGGAGTCCGATCCGGCCGGCTCGTGAAGCTGAAAGCCTGGTTGGCTCTTTCTCCCACCGCGGTGTGGTCCTCGGATCTTCCACCGGATTACAGAGACTGTTTTCACCGCTATGTCTCGCGACGCACGCTCGCTCCAGTTGGTGCTTGGTTGGTGCTCATTACCGGACAACGGGAGGATCTCTGCGCGTTGCGCCCTCGCCGCTCTTCTTTCCGGGTTTCTGGCGGTGTGTCCCCGGCTAACCTCAGGACGCTGAGCCAGGTAGCTCAGGCGGCTACTACAGCTTCTACGAGGTGCGCACTGGTCAACGCGAGGTCTGTGGCGAATAAAACTTTCATCCTGCAGGATTTCTTTACATCGCGCGCTTTGGATGTACTGTTTTTAACGGAGACTTGGATCAACAGCGGGGAGTCTACTGCTTTCTCTGAGTTATTACCTCCGGACTGTACTTTTATCAACGCACCGAGAACCACTGGTCGTGGCGGAGGTATAGCTACTGTTTTAAAGAATTGTGTTAATCACAAAGTGGTATCTGAATGGTCTTTTTGTTCATTTGAACTGAGCTGTTTTGAGCTGCGACAGGCTGACCCAGTACTGTGCGCTGTCGTTTACAGACCACCGAAGCACAACAAGGATTTTATTAGAGATTTTTATGAATTTGTTGCTTGTGTGCTCACGCGTTACGACAGGGTTTTAATTGTCGGAGATTTTAATGTGCATGTATGTTGTCCTTCTAAGCCCATGGTCAGAGAGTTTTTGGACTTGGTGGAAGCTTTTAATCTGACACAACATGTCTCTGGCCCAACACAAGTGCACGGGCACACGCTTGACATTGTGTTGTCGTGTGGTTTTCCTGTCAACAATGTCGTTGTGGGAGATGCCGTGTTTTCTGACCACAGCCCTGTCATGTTTGATTTTATTTTGGACTTGGAGCTGAAGCTGTCTTGCGTGCGCCATGGTCGTGTTATTAAGCCTGACACGGCCGCTGCTTTTTGTCCGCTTTTTACTGCATCGCCTCTGGATCATCTAAACTCCGCTGCATTTATGGACACGGAGCAATTGATGAACTCTTTTATTTCCACCTGCTCTGAAGTCCTGGACAGTGTTGCTCCTTTTAGAGCCATATGTCCTAAGCCAAAGCAGGAACCGTGGCTCAATGACACTACGCGCACAGCTCGGCGTGAGTGTCGGAGAGCGTACGTGGAAGAAGGACCATTTGGAGGTTTCGCACGAGATTCTTAGAGAGTGTTGGAGAAATTATCAAAGTACTGTTAAAGCTGAAAAAACTCAATATTTCTCAAACTTGATTTTGAATAATATCGGTAAACCTCGGGTTCTTTTTAAAACAATTGGTTCTGTTTTTAATCCAAGTCCGTCCACTTCATTGGAGATGACAAATGAAACTTGTGAACAATTCCTCTCCTTTTTTAATGAGAAGGTTGCTGCTATTAGGGCCAACATTTCTCCCTCTTCATTGTGGAGTTTGGTATCCACGCAATGTTCAGCTGTTTTTTGTCAGTTTGAGTCTGTGTCATTGTCTGTGCTCACAGGGATTGTTAAAAAACTTAAACCCTCCTCCTGTCCCACAGATCCGGTCCCTCCTCGCTTTTTTAAAGAGGTTTGGGACACCATTGGCTCTTCTGTTAAAGAGATCATCAACAGCAGCTTGGCTTCTGGCATAGTGCCCTCTTTTTGTAAAAAAGCTGTAGTTGAGCCTTTGATTAAAAAACCTGGTCTTGACCCTGCGAATTTGGCAAATTATCGGCCAATTTCCAAACTACCCATGGTATCGAAAATTTTAGAGAAATGCGTTTTTGCACAGTTGCAACCTTTTTTAGAGGAAAATGGCACTTTAGACCCATATCAGTCAGGCTACAAAGCTTTGCACAGTACTGAATCTGCACTCTTAAAGGTTTTTAATGACCTGTTTTTAATGACTGATTCTGGAGGCTCTGCCATTTTAGTGCTTTTAGACCTAACGGCTGCTTTTGACACAGTCGACCACACAATTCTTTTAGACCGCCTTAGAGATCGCGTGGGTGTCAGGGGGACCGCGTTAGAGTGGTTTAGGTCCTACCTGTCGGAGAGGTCATTCTCCGTCAGGCTGGGGGACTCCACTTCATCTTCTGCTCCGCTTCACTGTGGAGTCCCCCAGGGATCTATCCTGGGACCCATTTTGTTTGCAATATATCTCCTCCCACTTGGAGAGATTTTTAAGAAACATGGCATGTCTTACCACTTTTATGCAGATGACTGTCAAATGTACATGCCCATTGCTAAGAATGACCACAGCCCCCTGACACCCCTGCTCGACTGTCTAGGTGACGTCAAGGCTTGGTTAGCCCAGAATTTTTTAAAACTGAACGAGGGAAAAACAGAAGTAATGACATTTGGATGTAACCTCACGGACTTGGGATCACTCCAAAACTATTTGCATCCCAAGGTCACCAGCCTTGGCGTCACCATAGACAGTGATTTTAAATTTGATAAACAGATTAATGGCGTTTTAAAATCGGGTTTTTATCATCTTCGTCTTTTATCTAAAGTTAAGCCCTTTTTATCTTTTAATCTTTTTGAGCAAGTCGTGCACGCTTTTATTTCAAGCCGTCTGGACTACTGTAACGCACTTTACTCGGGAATTAGTCAGAAAGCACTCTCTCGTTTGCAGTTAGTCCAGAACGCTGCGGCACGACTCTTAACAGGGACCAAAAAACGCGAACATATTACCCCAATCCTTGCGTCCTTGCACTGGCTCCCTGTTAATTTTAGAATTGATTTTAAAATTTTATTGTTTGTTTTTAAAGCTTTGAATGGACTGGCCCCTCAGTATATTACAGACCTCATCCAAATTTACCGGCCCTCTCGCGCTTTGAGGTCTGAGGGCCAGCTCCAGCTCGTGGTTCTGAAGACGAACCGTAAAACCAGAGGGGACAGAGCGTTCTCCATTGTCGGCCCTAAGCTGTGGAACGCTCTGCCCCTCCACATCCGTACGGCCCCCACCGTGGAGTGTTTTAAATCCCGTCTTAAGACTCACTTTTATTCTTTGGCTTTTAGCACCGCGTAAGTTGTGTGGTCCCCCTGTGTCTTTTTATCTATTTTATTGAATTTTATTTTTATTTGTAGTTTTTAATGTGTTTTTATTTCTATTCAGTCTTTTAAATTGTTTTATTTCTATTTATTTGGTGGAGCTCATTTGTATTGTTTTTGTTTTATTGTTATTGTTGTTCAGCACTTTGGAAACGTTTTGTTGTTTAAATGTGCTATATAAATAAAGTGGATTGGATTGGATATGCAGACAGAACCATGTTGCAAGTGCGGGTCTCCCTCGTATCTCCCCCGTTTCTCCCCTGTGTCTCTGACATGTCTCTCCCCTGACTCTTCCCAAAGCGCAACCAGCGCTCCCGAAATTAAAGCTCGGATACCTAAATTTTCCATTACGTTAACGATGCATGCTGGTTGTGCGCAAAACACACCACAACAGGTCATTTAAGTTTTTATTTTGCATACTTGAGAGCCCTGTGAGTCATTACTTGCCTTTTTGGGTTGAGAGTGGAATAAAAAAAAGAAAATATAGAAAAATCCACACTGTTACTTATTGCCAAACTCTTGTTAACTCATTGTATTGAGAAATACTATGTAACTTTTGACATTGGCCAAGTTATATAAATGATTCTGCAGTTCATGTATATGAATGTCTGTTTTTGATTGTCTATACCTTCTTATATAATTTAGAAAAAATGCCACCTCCACAAAAAAAGATAAAAGATATCAGGAGCTTTTTTAACAGTTGGAAAGTAAGTAAGAGAAAGCACAAGTAATAGCAAATTATGAATTGTGATGATTAATCTTCTGTTAACATACATAACTGCTTCTCATTCAGTCTACAGCTGAGTTTAGTATAGAAGGCAAACACACTATTGCAAATATAGTGTGTGATTACACCACAAATTCTGGGGGAGAAACTCTGGACCCCGTGTCAATGGGTGTAGACTCAGGTCGTAGTGAATGTCCCCACCAAGATTGGAACCAAACCTACACCATTGAATCTGGGACACAGACGGTAGATGTATATATTGCAGTATAATCTGGGACACAGACGGTAGATGTATATAGACGTATATATTGTGGTATAATCTGGGACACAGACGGTAGACGTATATATTGCAGTATAATCTGAGACACAGACGGTAGGCGTATATATTGTGGTATAATCTGGGACACAGACGGTAGACGTATATATTGCAGTATAATCTGGGACACAGACGGTAGATGTATATAGACGTATATATTGTGGTATAATCTGGGACACAGACAGTAGACGTATATATTGCGGTATAATCTGGTGTGTGAATTTCACTTTAGGTCTTGCAGGTTCTTGAATGAAATAGTCAAGATTGTTACAGATTAGAATCTATATATTTTTGGGGCGGAGTTTTCAGGTGTGAGACAAATGCTGTAACAAACATTATTGCTTCACCGTCTCATTATTGCTATTACTTTTCACACTTCCACCTTTTGCACTTTTTCAGATATTTACCAAAGTACAAGCACTTTTTCCCATTGACTTACATTGGACCAGTACAAATGGCCCCATGCAACACTTTCTTCTTCTTCTATGAAGCCACTCGCACTGGCTTCAGCCGTTGGACCATTTATAGTTATTTATAGTGACAGATAAGTTTGTGTAAGCCCTCAGTCGTACAGGGATTAGTCAAAGCAAAGGAAGGTTTCTCACCCATCATCTGTACTTCTTAGCAAGTTTTCCCGACGTTTCGTCCTCAACCTGGGGACTTCTTCAGGGAATGAATTCTCGGACCGCGCGTTGGAGATTTATAACCTATGGGTGTGGTAAGCCACACCCTAATCCTGATACTAACTCGTAAACAATCTCAGGTCTGCTTGATGTAGAAGGGAGCAGGTCTAACGACCCTGCTGAGGCTAACGACCCTAACTCCTTAGCATGTCACAGACCTATTGTCTGCTGGGATGCTCAAGTGGAGTGCAGGTTTCACCCCTCCTAACTCATTAGCATGTCACTGACCTTGTCCCAAGTTAGGGCGTTGTTTTTAGGATGTCGTCTTGGGACAAGGTCAGTGACATGCTAATGAGTTAGGAGGGGTGAAACCTGCACTCCACTTGAGCATCCCAGCAGACAATAGGTCTGTGACATGCTAAGGAGTTAGGGTCGTTAGCCTCAGCAGGGTCGTTAGACCTGCTCCCTTCTACATCAAGCAGACCTGAGATTGTTTACGAGTTAGTATCAGGATTAGGGTGTGGCTTACCACACCCATAGGTTATAAATCTCCAACGCGCGGTCCGAGAATTCATTCCCTGAAGAAGTCCCCAGGTTGAGGACGAAACGTCGGGAAAACTTGCTAAGAAGTACAGATGATGGGTGAGAAACCTTCCTTTGCTTTATAGTGACAGAGTTTCGTGCGTGTACAGGGCTTCAATAAAAGCTATTGTTCGTTTACAGAGCTGGTCTTGACATTTGTTGACGCTTCCTAAGCACTTTTCTCAGCACTTGCAGCAATAGATTTCTCTGCATTAAAACACAGCGTTGGATTTGAAAAATTGATGTAAATGTGATCATTTTGTCAAAATTACTTTTGTTTAACAAAGTAGCTTTCGTGCTATTGACCGCGGAAGTCCGAATCTGACGCTAACTTTACCAAACTTCTGCCGTGATGATGCTGTAGGCCCATAGACCGGCACTTTCACAGATTGGTCAAAAGGCAGAGGCTTAAACTGTGGCTGAGTTTACACGGAGACAGTGTGGCAGTAAAACGGTATAGTTCGATGTCGGTTTCTACCAAGCGTTCATAAAACGTAAGTGTTCATGTGAACGCTGAGAAATTTGAATTAGGAGCCTGGTCGTTTCTGTTCATAGCCTGGAAACGTCTGCGCAGCGTCTCAGTATAAACAGGGCCTCAGATTACTGTGTGTTTACCTCTGCTGGGGCCGCTGTGACAACAATACAGACACACGGTGCTAATGCTTCCAGTGGAGTCTGCAAGGCTAATGCAGCTAGGCTAATGCAGCTAGGCTAATGCGGCTAGGCTAATGCTGCTAGGCTAATGCTGCTAGGCTAATGCAGCTAGGCTAATGCAGCTAAGCTAATGCAGCTAGGCTAATGCTGCTAGGCTAATGCAGCTAGGCTAATGCTGCTAGGCTAATGCGGCTAGGCTAATGCGGCTAGGCTAATGCTGCTAGGCTAATGCTGCTAGGCTAATGCTGCTAGGCTAATGCTGCTAGGCTAATGCAGCTAGGCTAATGCAGCTAAGCTAATGCAGCTAGGCTAATGCAGCTAGGCTAATGCTGCTGGGCTATTGCTGCTAGGCTAATGCAGCTAGGCTAATGCAGCTAGGCTAATGCAGCTAGGCTAATGCAGCTAGGCTAATGCAGCTAGGCTAATGCAGCTAGGCTAATGCTGCAGTATGCCGGTTGTTTTGGTGCCCTCTGCTGGCGTCAGAGCCTGTGCAATGTGATGACATAATGACCTATCGGAATATGCCGGTATAACAAAAATCTATTGTTGGCCAAATATTTTATCACATACCTCTTATACCGCTAATATCGCCCAGCCTTAATCAACAGACAAACAAAAACAACCGTTCACTCTTTCCAATGTTCTGTGATTATGACTTTAGCCTTAAGTCCTGTTTAGTTCAGCTGCAGCGCTGTAACCTCCACCTCAGACTCTACACAACAGCTTTCACCTTGGCCCAGATCTCTGAGGGTCATCAGCCCCAAGGCCTGAGCCATCTGCCATGGACCCTGGACCTGCACCGACCGCCTCAGTCCTGGGTCTACAGCCTCAGTCCTGGGTCTACAGCCTCAGTCCTGGGTCTACAGCCTCAGACCTGGGTCTACAGCCTCAGACCTGGGTCTACAGCCTCAGACCTGGGTCTACAGCCTCAGTCCTGGGTCTACAGCCTCAGTCCTGGGTCTACAGCCTCAGTCCTGGGTCTACAGCCTCAGTCCTGGGTCTACAGCCTCAGTCCTGGGTCTACAGCCTCAGTCCTGGGTCTACAGCCTCAGTCCTGGGTCTAGTAGATTGAACTGAGCTTCTAATGTGGTGTAAGAAACACAGTGCAGTGGGACTGACTTGTAGAGGGTGATGTCCGTCTGCAGGTCCGGGGGGAGTCTGGGGGGGATGGGGGGGGGGAGGGGGGAGGCGGGGTGTCGTGGGGGTGGCGGGTGTCCATGGCCTCCTGGGGGCTCAGGTGCAGCGTGACCGGGATCACAGGCAGGATACTGATGTACCTGAGGACGAGAGAGTACACTCAGAGCACAGAACCATGACCGGAGAGTAGAGTAGGAGAGAGGGAAGGGGGGAAAGGAGGGGAGAGAGGGGAGGGGAGGAGAGAAGAGAGGAGGGGAGGGGGGAGAGAGGGGAGGGGAGGGGAGGGAGAGAGAGAGGGGAGAGAGAGGAGAGAGGTAAGAGAGAGAGGGAGAGAGAGGGGAGAGAGGTAAGAGAGAGGGGAGAGAGGAGAGGAGAGAGAGGGGAGAGAGGTAAGAGAGATGGGAGAGAGGGCAGAGAGGGGAGAGAGGTAAGAGAGAGGGGAGAGAGGGGAGAGAGGTAAGAGAGAGGAGAGAGAGGGGAGAGAGGAGAGAGGAGAGCGAGGACCAGAATGAGCAGAAGGATCAGAACTAGAAATGGTACAATGGCTGAAGCCATTGTGAGTGGCTGCATAGATGTTGGAAGGGTTAGGGATGAAGGAGGAAGAGGAAGGGGTAGAAGAAGGAAGAAGAAAGAAAAGGGAAGAAGAGGAAAGAAGAAGGAAGAGGAGGAGGAAGAAGAAGAAGGGGAAGAAGGGGAAGAAGAGGAAGAAGGGAAGAAGTGAAGAAGATTAAGTAAGAAGAATGTGTTGTAAAGTGCTGAATGTGTTGTAAAGTGCTAAATGTGTTGTAAGGTGCTGAATTTGTTGTAAGGTGCTGAATTTGTTGTAAGGTGTTGAATTTGCTGTAAAGTGCTAAATGTGTTGTAAGGTGCTGTAAGTGTTGTAAGATGTTGTGATGTATTGTATCTGTGGTAATGAATTGTTAGTGTGGTAATGTGTTGTATGGGGAGTAATCTGTTGTACTGGTCCAATGTAAGTCAATGGGAAAAAGTGCTTGAACTTTTGTTAATATCTAAAAAAGTGCTAAAGGTGGAAGTGTGAAAAGTAATAGCAATAATGAGACGGTGAAGCCGGTCGTAACGATGTTGAATTTGGTGGAAGAGTTGAAGAGTTGAAGAGGAAGAGGAAGAAGAAGTAGAAGAAACAGTAGGATAGCATATAGTGGCTGCATAGTCTATGCAGCCACTCAACTAGAAATGGTACAATGGCTGAAGCCATTGTGAGTGGCTGCATAGATGTTGGAAGGGTTAGGGATGAAGAAGGAAGGGGAAGAAGGAAGAAGAAAGAAAAGGGAAGAAGAGGAAAGAAGGAGGAAGAGGAGGAGGAAGAAGAAGAGGAAGAAGGGGAAGAAGAGGAAAAAGAGGAAGAAGAGGAGGAAGAAGAGGAAAAAGGGGAAGAAGGGCAAGAAGGGGAAGATGAGGAAGAAGGGGAAGAAGGGAAAGAAGGGAAAGAAGTGGAAGAAGAGGAAGAAGGGAAAGAAGTGGAAGAAGAGGAAGAAGAGGAAGAAGGGAAGAAGAGGAAGAAGAGGTAGAAGGAGAAGAAGAGGAAGAAGGGGAAGAACAGGAAGAAGTGAAGAAGATGAAGTAAGAAGAATGTGTTGTAAGGTGCTGAAAGTGTTGTAAAGTGCTAAATGTCTTGTAAGGTGCTAAATGTGTTGTATAGTGCTAAATGTGTTGTAAATTGCTGAATTTGCTATAAAGTGCTGTAAGGTATTGTATCTGTGGTAATGAATTGTTAGTGTGGTAAGGTGTTGTATGGGGAATAATCTGTTGTACTGGTCCAATGTAAGTCAATGGGAAAAAGTGCTTGAACTTTTGTTAATATCTGAAGAACAAGAACAAGAACAAGAAGAAGAAGAAGAAGTAGGATAGCATATAGTGGCTGCATAGTCTAAGCAGCCACTCAATGAGCAGAAGGACCAGAATGAGCTGAAGGACCAGAATGAGCAGAATGAGCAGAAGGACCAGAGTGAGCAGAATGAGCTGAAGGACCAGAGTGAGCAGAGTCTCACCTCTTTGCCAGAGTGATGTTGTAATAACCGAACAGCGAGGGCCAGTGCCTGAAGGACAGCCTCCTCCAGCCCTCCTCGTCCTCCGCTCCCCATGTGATCTGAAGCACCGGGTCTGCAGGGGGGAGGCGAGGGTCTGCGGGGGGGAGGCGAGGGTCTGCGGGCGGGAGGCGAGGGTCTGCGGGGGGGAGGCGAGGGTCTGCGGGAGGGAGGTGAGGGTGTGCGGGGGGGGGGTGAGGATCTGCAGGAGGGAGGTGAGGGTCTGCAGGAGGGAGGTGAGGCTGTGCGGGGGGGAGGTGAGGCTGTGCGGGGGGGAGGTGAGGCTGTGCAGGGGGGTGGGTGAGGTGCGAGAGGAGCCCAGGGTCTGCGTGGTGAGACAGGAGGCCCGGGTCGGCCTGGTGGCCCTGGGACTGGTTCTCTGGGAGCGGGGTGGGGGAGGGGGGAGGGGGGAGGCTCAAGGTGCTGGTGGGGTCTGCACCGCGGAACACCGGAGCCACAGCTGCCCCGGGGTCAGACAGAGCATCCTGCTCAGAGACCTGAGCCGCCAGGAAGGTCCTGAGACCAGCCGGGTCTGTGTAGAGAAGGATCCCAATCCAGATCACTGTCCCGGCCTGAGAGAGAGAGGGGTGGGAGGGGGGAGCGAGGGTAGAGAAAGAGAGGGGGAGAGAGGAGAAAGAGAGGAGAGAGAGGAGAAAGAGAGGAGAGAGAGGAGAGAGAGGAGAGGAGAGAGAAGAGAGGAGAGAGAAGAGGAGAGGAGAGGAGAGAGAGAGGAGAGGAGAGAGAGAGGAGAGAAAGAGGAGAGAGAGGAGAGGAGAGAGAGAGGAGAAAGAGAGGGGGAGAAAGGAGAAAGAGAGGGGGAGAGAGAGGAGAGAGAGAGGGAGAGAGAGAGAGAGGAGAAAGAGGAGAGAGATTGTTAGACTTTTTTACAAAAACAAAACAAATTTCAGTATGATTTCTAACATACGTATATTATAACATTTCTGCTCCTGTGTTTGTTATTATTGTATTTCCTGTGCTCTAACTATTTGGGTCTCTCTCTGGTCTGTCTCTCTTCTCTCTCTGGTCTCTCTCTCTCTGGTCTCTCTCTCTCTGGTCTCTCTCTCTCTGGTCTCGGTCTCTCTCTGGTCTCTCTCTCTCTGGTCTCGGTCTCTCTCTGGTCTCGGTCTCTCTCTGGTCTCGGTCTCTCTCTGGTCTCGGTCTCTCTCTGGTCTCGGTCTCTGGTCTCGGTCTCTGGTCTCTGGTCTCGGTCTCTGGTCTCGGTCTCTGGTCTCGGTCTCTCTCTGGTCTCGGTCTCTCTCTGGTCTCGGTCTCTCTCTGGTCTCGGTCTCTCTCTGGTCTCGGTCTCTCTCTGGTCTCGGTCTCTCTCTGGTCTCGGTCTCTCTCTGGTCTCTCTCTCTCTCTGGTCTCTCTCTCTCTCTGGTCTCTCTCTCTCTCTGGTCTCTCTCTCTCTCTGGTCTCTCTCTCTCTCTGGTCTCTCTCTCTCTCTGGTCTCTCTCTCTCTCTGGTCTCTCTCTCTCTCTGGTCTCTCTCTCTCTCTGGTCTCTCTCTCTCTCTGGTCTCTCTCTCTCTCTGGTCTCTCTCTCTCTCTGGTCTCTCTCTCTCTCTCTGGTCTCTCTCTCTCTCTGGTCTCTCTCTCTCTGGTCTCTCTCTCTCTGGTCTCTCTCTCTCTGGTCTCTCTCTCTCTGGTCTCTCTCTCTCTGGTCTCTCTCTCTCTCTGGTCTCTCTCTCTCTGGTCTCTCTCTCTCTCTGGTCTCTCTCTCTCTGGTCTCTCTCTCTCTGGTCTCTGGTCTCTCTCTCTGGTCTCTCTCCAAACACAGTCTCTCACCATGATGATGCGCTGAGCCAGGCGGGTGCGAGCCAGGAAGTAGACCACTCTGAGGCGCTTGGGGAGGCGGGGGAAGCTCCGCAGGGGGGGGGTCTGCAGGGTGATGGTGTGGGGGGAGGGCCGGGAGGGAGGGGGGGCCTCACGAGCTCTCAGGGGCCCGGGTTTAGGGGGAGGCAGCCCTGCTTCAGCCGGGAGGCGACGGTTCAGGTCTGCCAGCTGCAAGACACCACAGGGAACACTCTGCAGTCAGACAGGAGGCCAGGGGACTATGAACACACCAGGTACCAGGAACCATGAGCCCAACAAGGGAAGTGCTCATGGAGGAAGTTTGGATACAATTTATATTAAAAGAGGGGAGGGTACAGTACCTTGCAAATGTATTCACCCCCCTCGGCTTTTTACCTATTTTGTTTCATTACAGCCTTTAGTTCAATGTTTTTTTAATCCTAATGTCATGTGATGGATCAGAAAACAACAGTCTAAGTTGATGAAGTGAATTGAGAAAATATATACATAAAACTATTTTCAGAAATAAAAAACTGGAAATTGGCATTGGCATTCACCCCCTTTGTTATGAAGCCCATAAAAAGAGAAGTACAAGTCAGGGTTAGGTTATAAACAAATATCCAAATCTGTGATGATCCCCAGGAGCACCATCAAATCTATCATAACCAAATGGAAAGAACACGGCACAACAGCAAACCTGCCAAGAGACGGCCGCCCACCAAACCTCACGGACCGGGCACGGAGGGCATTAACCAGAGAGGCAGCACAGAGACCTAATGCCGCTTTTCCACAGTATCAGCACGGTACAACACAGTTGGTCTGGACCTGGTCTCACACATACGTACTTTTGACTTTGTAAACTGTTGGTTTTGCACTTTCCTTTAGTTTTCAATAAATCTGCGATTGTTTCAAGACTTTGCTTCATTCATTTATTATTATTGTAGCTGAAGTTGGGTATCGATTGTTTGTCTGGTCTCTGAGTCTGCTGTAGTCTGGACCCGAGTCCGGACTAGCCTAGCCGCTAACTCGCTAGCCCTATGGCTGCCGCTGTCTCTCCCTCGGTCCTTTACTGCTGGAGTTGCCATATGACAAGTTTAAACCCTGGATCCTCCTCTGATGGCAGTGATAGATGTGTTAAGTGTAGTATAGTTGTAGCTTTGGAATCCAGGGTTAGTGAGTGAGCAGAGTCTCGAGCTAGCGCTAGCATTAGCTATAGCCTAGCAGTATCCTCGGACACGTAAATGACGTGGTCTGACAACGCTGAGGACATACTGGGGGTACTATTTTTTATGGAAAAGCACGCGAACTGGGCCATGGCGCGCCGTGTTGAGTCAAAACGTACCGTACTAGGACTGTGGAAAAACGGCATAAGGTAACCCTGGAGGAGCTGCAGAGTTCCACAGCAGAGACTGGAGCATCTGTACATAGGACCACAAAAAGCCGTACACTCCATAGAGTTGGGCTTTATGGTAGAGTGGCAGAAGAAAGACATGCCTTTTGGCAAAAAACAAAATGGCACGTTTTGAGTTTGCCAAAAGGCATGAGGGAGACTCCCAAAATGTATGGAGGTAGGTGCTCTGGTCTGAACACATCACATCACCCAAAGAACACCATCCCCACAGTGAAGCATGGTGGTGGCAGCATCATGCTGTGGGGATGGGACTGGCAAACTGGTCAGAGTTGAGGGAAAGATGGATGGTGCTAAATACAGGGATATTCTTGAGCTAAACCTGTGCCACTCTGTGCGTGATCTGAGGCTAGGACGGAGGTTCAACTTCCAGCAGGACAATGGCCCCAAACACACTGCTAACGCAACACTTCAGTGGTTTAAGGGAAACATGTAAATGTGTTGGAATGGCCCAGTCAAAGCCCAGACTTCAATCTAATAGAACATCTGTTTCAGACCTAGAGAGGAAAGTTAGGTACCCCAGCTTTAAACTCAGTACAGTAGCACAGTATGTCTAATGTGTAGAAGTCTAAAGTCACCTCCATGCGGCGGATGTCGATGGAGAGGACGGTGGTGAAGAAGAACATCTGTAAGAAGAAGTCTGAGACCAGACCGACCACCGCGAACAGACAGAACTCCTGCAGAAACACACATGGTACATGGTCACATGGTCTGCAGGTCGCTATGTTGGGATTAAATCTGTGGTTTAGTGCTCTCTCTTTCTCCATCTCTGGTCTCTCCCTCTAGTCTATCTCCCTCTAGTCTCCCTCTCTCTGGTCTCTCTCTCTCTGGTCTCTCTCTCTCTGGTCTCTCTCCCTCTGGTCTCTCTCCCTCTGGTCTCTCTCCCTCTGGTCTCTCTCCCTCTGGTCTCTCTCCCTCTGGTCTCTCTAGAGTCTCTCTCTTTGGTCTCTCTCTCTCTGGTCTCTCTCTCTGGTCTCTTTCTGGTCTCTCTCCCTCTGGTCTCTCTCCCTCTGGTCTCTCTCTCCCTCTGGTCTCTCTCTCCCTCTGGTCTCTCTCTCCCTCTGGTCTCTCTCTCCCTCTGGTCTCTCTCTCCCTCTGGTCTCTCTCTCCCTCTGGTCTCTCTCTCTGGTCTCTCTCTCTCTCTAGTCTCCCTCTCTCTAGTCTCCCTCTCTCTAGAGTCTCTCTCTCTAGAGTCTCTCACCTGGATGGCAGGCACCAGAGTGAAGTAACCAATGAGAATGATGCAGAGCTCAGTGGCCATGTTCTTCATGATGGACCAGCTCTCGTTACTCAGACCTGGAACCACAGAAACTACATGTGTCAGGTACCACGGGTCAGGTACCACGGGTCAGGTACCACGGGTCAGGTACCACAGTTCACCTTGGGCGATGCGCAGCTTGACCTCCAGGTCCACAGGTGTCGAAACCACAGACTTGGTCAGAACCAGAACATTCTCCAAACCGATCACCACCACCAGGTACGGGAAGATCTCTCTGCACCAGCAACAGGTTAAAGGTCAACGTTAAAGGGTAAAGGTGAAGGTCTGAGTGTCGGGGTCCTGACACAGATGTAGGAGATGGGGTCATGAGGTTGAGGAAATCTTTCTAAGCAGAGCTGAAGTTGGCTGGATGACACCGTGGTAATGATTTCAATGACCAGACTATAAAGCAGAGGAGCTTCTCTTATAGTGATACAGCAGCTCTACCAGGTCTTCACACCAAACCCTTACAAAGTCAACTGGTGTGGTACCAGAGACCAGGGAAGCGAGGGGAGACCAGAGGGAGACCAGAGAGAGACCAGAGGGAGACCAGACACTCGCGAGAGAGAGGGACCAGAGACCAGAGAGAGACCAGAAAGAGAAAGCAGAGAGAAAGGGACAAAAGAGAGAGACCAGAGAGATGAGGTTGTACATGACTCAGCACTTTTCTTTTAGCCAATCACATACTTCTTTTGATGTTTCCTTCTCATCTCTTATATAGTTATTTGGCCACATCCCCCAGCTCTACCAGGCCTTGCACTGCTGAGTGGCTGTAACTGTTTGGTGTGAAAACCTGCCGTTGGATCTTAAAGTGAAGTGGTTTGGCAGCATTTCAAAGCTCCAGCTCATTTCCCCTCAGTAAACACAACATACTGTACATACACTGGACTTCCTCTTACTCCCGCGCACTACCAAGAACAGCCACGCCCACTCTGGTAAGCCCTGCCCCCTTTGGAACCCCTCCCCCTCTCACTACGCCCTCCCATAGCGCACATGGTCCCGTCCCGGCGACTGGTTGGTTGATGATGTGCTGCTGTCACGCCACGGCCTCCTGAAGCAGAACACTGAGCTGTGATTGGAGGAGAGGGATCTGTGGCTCCACCCCATCTATCCAGCTGACACAGTGACTCTTTGGCCTCTGGTGTAAACATGACTCAGCGTGGGAGAACTTGTACTTCTGGTTCAGGAGATGAAAGAGAAGTCAATGAGACCAGAGAGAGACCAAAGAGAGAGACCAAAGAGAGACCAAAGAGAGACCAAAGAGAGAGACCAAAGAGAGACCAAAGAGAGACCAGAGAGAGAGACCAAAGAGAGACCAGAGAGAGGCCAGAGAGAGACCAGAGAGAGACAAAAAAGAGAGACCAGAGAGAGACCAGAGAGAGACCAGAGCGAGACCAGAGAGAGACCAGAAAGAGACCAGAGCGAGACCAGAGCGAGACCAGAGCGAGACCAGAGAGAGACCAGAGAGAGACCAAAGAGAGACCAGAGAGAGACCAGAGAGAGACCAGAGAGAGACCAGAGAGAGACCAGAGAGAGACCAGAGAGAGACCAGAGAGAGAGACCAGAGAGAAACCAGAGAGAGACCAGAGAGCGAGACCAGAATCCAGACTGACTCTTTGACCTCTGGTGTAAACATGACTAAGTGTCTAAACCTGTTTTTTTGGTTCAGATGAAGATGAAAAGTCAATGAGACCAAACCGTGGTGGAATATAATGTAACAGAGAGGTCTGTGCGTGTCTCTGTGCGTGTCTCTGTGCGTGTCTCTGTGCGTGTCTCTGTGCGTGTCTCTGTGCGTGTCTCTGTGCGTGTCTCTGTGCGTGTCTCTGTGCGTGTCTCTGTGCGTGTCTCTGTGCGTGTCTCTGTGCGTGTGTGAGATTAAAGCTCGGTGTCGTGAATCCCTCGGTCCTGGTTCTAACAGTACATAGTTGTGTTGGTCGTACCCTCCGTTGAGCGTCGGTGTGAGTCCGAAGAGCGTACAGAGACCCACAGACATGAGCAGAGAGCTGAGCACCGTGACCACCGCCGCCAGAGCCAGGCCCCACTTGGACTTCACCATGTCGATCTTACCTACACCACCACCACAACAACAATAACAACAAACAAACACACACACAAACAAACAAACACATTTACTTCAGGAGATCCTTTATTTATCCTGAAGATCTGTGGTTTAGAGCCCTGTGTGATCCTGGGGTTTATACATGAGCTTGAGAAGGATTAGATCAGAAGGTCATAGGTCATAGGTCATGTCCCACAGCGGGGAAATGTCAGTGTTGCATCACCACAGAACTCTTTACGGACTCTCGCCACGGACTCTCGCCACGGACTCTCGCCACGGACTCTCGCCACGGACTCTCGCCACGGACTCTCGCCACGGACTCTCGCCACGGACTCTCGCCACGGACTCTCGCCACGGACTCTCGCCACGGACTCTCGCCACGGACTCTCGCCACGGACTCTCGCCACGGACTCTCGCCACGGACTCTCGCCACGGACTCTCGCCACGGACTCTCGCCACGGACTCTCGCCACGGACTCTCGCCACGGACTCTCTAGGGCAGGGGTCTCCAACCTTTCTCAATCAGAGAGCTACTTTGATACAAACGAAGAGGCAGAGAGCTACTAATTTACATTTTTTACATATAATGGCTAAAAACGTATTAATTTAAGATCATGTTAGAAATTCTAAATCCTTTGGCAAGCTTCCTGAAAGGGGCTCCCGAATCACAGGTTGGAGACCCCTGCTCTCCGGTCTCTCTCTCTGCTCAGCACACTGGGGTGATGTCACTCACGTGTGGAGAAGTAGATGTAGGCGAAGAGGATGATGTAGGTGGTGACCAGGGGGATGAGCTCGGCGACACCGATCTCTTCTTTGAAGTGAACGTGGACCATGTGGTCGTCTCGGAGGCTGCAGTTGGACGAAGGATAGAGCTGCTTCAGACGGGAACGCAGACTCCTCATGAAGCTGAGGGAGAGAGAGCTCTAAGGTCAGCTCTAAGGTCAGACTCTACAGATAAAGAGGGTCAGAAGGAGAGAGAGACCAGAGAGAGACCAGAGAGAGACAAGAGAGAGACAAGAGAGACCAGAGAGAGAGACCAGAGAGAGAGACCAGAGAGAGACCAGAGAGAGAGACCAGAGAGAGAGACCAGAGAGAGAACAGAGACCAGAGAGAGAGACCAGAGAGAGAGAACAGAGAGAGACAAGAGAGAGAACACGGAGACCAGAGAGAGAGACCAGAGAGAGAACAGAGACCAGAGAGAGAGACCAGAGAGAGAGCACATTTCTCCAGACCTGGCGTCGTATCTGCTCAGCACCACAGTGATGGTGTATGTGACCACTCTCTTCCTGTTGTAGTGACTGACTCCAGTGAACTTCCCTGGGACTCCGAACAGCAGGTCTGCAACAGAACCAGCAACACACACTCAGGCCGGATTCTCTCTCTGGTCTATCTCCCTCTGGTCTCTCCCTCTGGTCTCTCCCTCTGGTCTCTCCCTCTGGTCTCTCCCTCTGGTCTCTCCCTCTGGTCTCTCCCTCTGGTCTCTCCCTCTGGTCTCTCCCTCTGGTCCCTCCCTCTGGTCCCTGTACCTCTGAGTGTAGCAGAGGTACTCAGGCCCTTGGGTTCGTGTTTCTGGATGGTCTTGAGGAGGTCTGAGTCGGTGTCGAACAGCTCTCGTTGGTTTTGCCAGTAGTTTCCTGGAGAGACGATGAGGCAGCCGTGCTCCGGGAGGACAGACTGCATCCTGCGTAACCCCGGCAACAGATCAGTGACCTGCAGACAGAGGCTCTCCAGGCTGCGCACCCCCGAGCTGCTCACACAAGCAAGTTTATTGGTATAGCACAGTCCATACACAGAGAAAGGTCCGGTGTTTCAGATGTACCCGTCATTGTTGCCGTGGTTACGGATCTCCTCCAGCAGCTCGAACACTCGGCCCAGAGGAGAGCGGAAGGCGTCCACCGGAACCATGTGACTGTCCCACGGAGACACGGCCGCCTTCACCAGGACCTGCTGGATGTAGGCCACAGGGACGCCATGGTACTGAGACACATGGTACAGGGAGACACAGGGAGACACAGGGAGACACAGAGAAACACAGGGAGACACAGGGAGACACAGAGAGACACAGAGAGACACAGGGAGACACAGAGAGACACAGAGAGACACAGAGAGACACAGAGACACAGGGAGACACAGAGAGACACAGGGAGACACAGGGAGACAAAGGGAGACACAGAGAGACACAGAGAGACACAGAGAGACCCAGAGAGACACAGGGAGACCCAGAGAGACACAGAGAGACACAGGGAGACACAGGGAGACACAGAGAGACACAGAGAGACACAGGGAGACACAGGGAGACACAGGGAGACACAGGGAGACAGAGAGACACAGGGAGACACAGAGAGACCCAGAGAGACACAGGGAGACCCAGAGAGACCCAGAGAGACACAGGGAGACACAGAGAGACACAGGGAGACACAGAGAGACACAGAGAGACACAGAGAGACACAGAGAGACACAGGGAGACACAGGGAGACACAGAGAGACACAGGGAGACACAGGGAGACACAGGGAGACACAGAGAGACACAGAGAGGACACAGAGAGACACAGGGAGACACAGGGAGACACAGGGAGACACAGGGAGACACAGAGAGACACAGAGAGACACAGAGAGACACAGAGAGACCCAGGGAGACACAGAGAGACACAGAGAGACACAGAGAGACACAGGGAGACACAGAGAGACACAGAGAGAACACAGAGAGAACACAGAGAGACACAGGGAGACACAGAGAGACACAGGGAGACACAGAGAAACACAGGGAGACACAGAGAGACACAGAGAGGACACAGAGAGACACAGAGAGAGAGGGAGAGAGAGATACATAATTAGTAAAACTGTTCCTTCTACTCCTTCCTTCTACCAAACCAGGTATTCCCAAATATTGGAATACCTGCTCGGAGAGTTTAACCTCTTAACAACCGCCTCATTTTGGCTCGTGCACAATGGTTGGGCATACCCAAATGTCTTTGCTTATTTAAAAACACATCTTACATCTCACATGCTTGTGTGATGCATCATTTTAAAGCTAGAGCCTTCTAGTTTATGTAAAAAAACACTAAAATAATGTTTGTCATTCCTATTTTCCTCTGCATCCTTTGAAGTTAGGGAAAAAAAACCAATTTTTTTAGCCTCGCCTAACATTTTCAATTTCTAAAGGCCCTAAAAAAGGCATACTTCATTGTAAGTTCACAATATTCAAACCCTCTGTTCATTGTGTTGTTGACAACAACTGTATAAAGTTTCAGACTTGTAAGTTTTATAGTTTTTATGCAGTTTCTCCTTTTCATCAAGTAGTGCACATTTGGCACAATTTGGCACAAGTGTGCCAAATTGTGCCAAATATCTTTACTTACATTTAATCATCATAAAAACAATATTTTTCATTATTGGTACTTATAAGTTACTAATCTATGTGTGTTTTTCTTTTTTAAATGTCAAAGTTATTTTCATTGCAGCTTCGAGAGCGTCTTTTGGCTTCCATTACGCACAATTGTCCAGGCACAACATAAGACAGGACACCATTGTCCCACCCCTTGTTCGAAAGCTTTCCTCATTGGCTACAAGGACATGTCAATCGTAAATCCCGGAAGTAAAAGCAAACAAGTTGGGAGCACAACAAAGATCAGTCCTCCATGCGCAAACAGCAGCACGAGCGGTACTTGCGGGAGCTATTGCAGACCCAAAAATTGGTCTAGCTTTTCGGGAGTAGTCTCATTTGAAAGATAAGGAGCTAAGGAACACGTAGATACCAGATGTTTGGGTGAAAAACAAAGCTAAAAGTCCGTTAAAAGTGAAAGAGTAACATCTGTGCTCTTTTTTTTCGTTTTTTTCGCTAAAGATAAATGCACATTTTTGGATTATTTCTGCAGAATGGATTTTACTTTGGGAAATACAAGTGGATATAATTTTCCTTTGGACTGTTCCAGAGAGAATGATGTATTGCAAGCTGGGAGGAGAGCTGATTTATTTGTACAGCACAAGCCCAAAGGTAAAAAACTATTTCGGAATTGATTTATTTTGTGCCCACATTATGTGTTATATCTTTTGAATGCAAAGTCTGATGTAGTTTACACTTGTATATAAATGTAGATAAGAAAATAAGCTTTAAAATGATATACAGCTTTTGGGGTTTGGTGTTCAAAATACATCTGCTATTGCCAGCAGAACATTTAAAAACATAAAAACGGCCGCCGGCGCGCCGGTTGTTGCAAAGTGGTTAAGAAGCTCCATAATGGATGTCATTCTGTAAATGTCTCCAGTGTGAGATCAACAAAGTTTATCTTATCTTAAGTTCACCTTCTCCCAAACCTCAACATGACCTTCTGATATTTTAGACCAGTGCAAGAGCCCAACCAGAGAAACTTTTATTTCATTTTGTTTCTAAAAACTGAGGTTAATATGAATTGAACCTAATAAACTCGACACCTCTTCTATCGTTGTGTTGATACAATTCAAAACCTTTGTTACCACGAAGAACAAAGACATGTCTGGGCTTTAAACCCAGGGCCTAAAGCCCAGAGAACAGACTCACCCAGTCTGGGCTCTCCCCCAGGTCTGCATGGGGCTCTGAGGACGGGCTGCTGTAGTCCCGGACCCCTGTGGTGAACTCCACTGGGCCTGTCCCGGGCAGAGGCAGCCTCAGCAGGGGGTAGCTGCAGAGAGATAGTACACATCAGAGGGTAACTGCAGAGAGAGAGTACAGGTCAGAGGGTAACTGCAGAGAGAGAGTACACGTCAGAGGGTAACTGCAGAGAGAGAGTACACGTCAGAGGGTAACTGCAGACAGAGAGAGTACACGTCAGAGGGTAACTGCAGACAGAGAGAGTACACGTCAGAGGGTAACTGCAGACAGAGAGAGTACTGGTCAGAGGGTAACTGCAGAGAGAGAGTACACGTCAGAGGGTAACTGCAGAGAGAGAGTACAGGTCAGAGGGTAACTGCAGACAGAGAGAGTACACGTCAGAGGGTAACTGCAGAGAGAGAGAGTACAGGTCAGAGGGTAACTGCAGAGAGAGAGTACACGTCAGAGGGTTACTGCAGAGAGAGAGAGAGTACACGTCAGAGGGTAACTGCAGAGAGAGAGTACAGGTCAGAGGGTAACTGCAGAGAGAGTGTACAGGTCAGAGGGTAACTGCAGAGAGAGAGAGTACAGGTCAGAGGGTAACTGCAGAGAGAGAGAGTACAGGTCAGAGGGTTACTGCAGAGAGAGAGTACACGTCAGAGGGTAACTGCAGACAGAGAGAGTACACGTCAGAGGGTAACTGCAGACAGAGAGAGTACACGTCAGAGGGTAACTGCAGACAGAGAGAGTACAGGTCAGAGGGTAACTGCAGAGAGAGAGTACACGTCAGAGGGTAACTGCAGAGAGAGAGTACAGGTCAGAGGGTAACTGCAGACAGAGAGAGTACACGTCAGAGGGTAACTGCAGAGAGAGAGAGTACAGGTCAGAGGGTAACTGCAGAGAGAGAGAGTACACGTCAGAGGGTTACTGCAGAGAGAGAGAGAGTACACGTCAGAGGGTAACTGCAGAGAGAGTGTACAGGTCAGAGGGTAACTGCAGAGAGAGAGAGTACAGGTCAGAGGGTAACTGCAGAGAGAGAGAGTACAGGTCAGAGGGTTACTGCAGAGAGAGAGTACACATCAGAGGGTAACTGCAGAGTACAGGTCAGAGGGTAACTGCAGAGAGAGAGTACACGTCAGAGGGTAACTGCAGAGAGAGAGAGTACAGGTCAGAGGGTAACTGCAGAGAGAGAGAGTACACGTCAGAGGGTTACTGCAGAGAGAGAGAGAGTACACGTCAGAGGGTAACTGCAGAGAGAGTGTACAGGTCAGAGGGTAACTGCAGAGAGAGAGAGTACAGGTCAGAGGGTAACTGCAGAGAGAGAGAGTACAGGTCAGAGGGTTACTGCAGAGAGAGAGTACACATCAGAGGGTAACTGCAGAGTACAGGTCAGAGGGTAACTGCAGAGAGAGAGTACACGTCAGAGGGTAACTGCAGAGAGAGTACACGTCAGAGGGTAACTGCAGAGAGAGAGTACACGTCAGAGGGTAACTGCAGAGAGTACACGTCAGAGGGTAACTGCAGAGAGTACACGTCAGAGGGTAAAAGCAGAGAGAGAGTACATGTCAGAGGGTAACTGCAGAGAGAGAGTACACGTCAGAGGGTAACCGCAGAGAGAGAGTACACGTCAGAGGGTAACTGCAGAGAGAGTCCCTGATGGTCCAGTCCCTGATGGTCCAGTCCGTGATGGTCCAGTCCGTGATGGTCCAGTCCTTGATGGTCCAGTCCTTGATGGTCCAGTCCTTGATGGTCCAGTCCTTGATGGTCCAGTCCTTGATGGTCCAGTCTCTGATGGCCCAGTCCTTGATGGTCCAGTCCTTGATGGTCCAGTCCTTGATGGTCCCTGATGGTCCAGTCATTGATGGTCCAGTCCTTGATGGTCCAGTCCCTGGTGGTCCAGTCCTTGATGGTCCAGTCCTTGATGGTCCCTGATGGCCCAGTCCTTGATGGTCCAGTCCCTGATGGTCCAGTCCTTGATGGTCCAGTCCCTGATGGTCCAGTCCTTGATGGTCCAGTCCTTGATGGTCCCTGATGGTCCAGTCTCTGATGGTCCAGTCCTTGATGGTCCCTGATGGCCCAGTCCTTGATGGTCCAGTCCCTGATGGTCCAGTCCTTGATGGTCCCTGATGGTCCAGTCCCTGATGGTCCAGTCCTTGATGGTCCAGTCCTTGATGGTCCAGTCATTGATGGCCCAGTCCTTGATGGCCCAGTCCTTGATGGCCCAGTCCTTGATGGCCCAGTCCTTGATGGTCCAGTCATTGATGGTCCAGTCCTTGATGGTGCAGTCCTTGATGGTCCAGTCCTTGATAGTCCTTGATGGTCCAGTCCTTGATGGTCCAGTCCTTGATGGTCCCGGCGTACCAGCAGGAAAGGATGCTGGCGGAGGTGAAGAGGATGATAGGGACGGGGTAGGAGGCGCAGAGCAGACCGTGGCGGTAAAACGCTGCAGAGATGGTTTCTCTGAGCTGCTCCGTCAGCGTCATCCTGAAGGGAGGGATCAGCTGCACGCCATCAGAGAGAGAGCGAGGGAGGGGGGGCCGCCGCGGGGCATCCAGGGACCTGAGAGACACACACACACACACACACACTGTAGGTTCTGATCCAGAGACACACACACACACACACTGTAGGTTCTGATCCAGAGACACACACACACTGTAGGTTCTGATCCAGAGACACACACACACTGTAGGTTCTGATACTGAGACACACACACACACACACATACACACTGTAGGTTCTGATCCAGAGACACACACACACACACACACACACTGTAGGTTCTGATCCAGAGACACACACACACACACACACACACACACACACACTGTAGGTTCTGATCCAGACACACACACACACACACACTGTAGGTTCTGATCCAGAGACACACACACACACACACACTGTAGGTTCTGATCCAGAGACACACACACACTGTAGGTTCTGATCCAGAGACACACACACACACACACACACATTGTAGGTTCTGATACTGAGACACACACACTGTAGGTTCTGATCCAGAGACACACACACACATACACTGTAGGTTCTGATCCAGAGACACACACACACACACTGTAGGTTCTGATCCAGACACACACACACACACACACTGTAGGTTCTGATCCAGACACACACACACACACACACACTGTAGGTTCTGATCCAGACACACACACACACACACACTGTAGGTTCTGATCCAGACAAACACACTGTAGGTTCTGATCCAGACAAACACACTGTAGGTTCTGATCCAGACAAACACACTGTAGGTTCTGATCCAGACAAACACACTGTAGGTTCTGATCCAGACAAACACACTGTAGGTTCTGATCCAGACAAACACACTGTAGGTTCTGATCCAGACAAACACACTGTAGGTTCTGATCCAGACACACACACTGTAGGTTCTGATCCAGACACACACACTGTAGGTTCTGATCCTGACACACACACTGTAGGTTCTGATCCTGACACACACACTGTAGGTTCTGATACTGACACACACACTGTAGGTTCTGATACTGAGACACACACACACACACACACACAGACAGAAGGTTCTGATACTGAGACACACACACAGTAGGTTCTGATCCTGACACACACACACACAGACTGAGTGTGAAAAATACTGTATTATCTTTGACCCAAATATTCATACAACTGTAAGAAAAAAAAAAACAGAAAAAACCTGTGTGTGTGTGTGTTGTTGACCCTCATGTGTGTGTTGTTGACCCTCTCATGTGTGTGTGTTGACCCTCATGCGTGTGTGTGTGTTGTTGACCCTCGTGTGTGTGTGTGTGTTGTTGACCCTCTCAAGTGTGTGTGTGTGTGTTGTTGACCCTCTCAAGTGTGTGTGTGTGTGTTGTTGACCCTCTCAAGTGTGTGTGTGTGTTGTTGACCCTCTCATGTGTGTGTGTGTGTGTTGTTGACCCTCTCATGTGTGTGTGTGTGTTGTTGACCCTCTCATGTGTGTGTGTGTGTGTTGTTGACCCTCTCATGTGTGTGTGTGTGCAGTATTCCTGCCTCTCGTCCCCGACTTTAGTTCTGGTTCTGTCTGTTCAGAAGGACCATAAACATGATTTATGGTCCGTCTTATCTTCACACTCTGCTCACACAACACTGCACCATAAAATACACCATCAGTATGTTGTGATACATGGTCCCAGGTCTCTGTCCTGAAGTCCTCTCACATTAGTCCTGGTCTCAGGTCTCTGTCCTGAAGTCCTCTCACATTAGTCCTGGTGTCAGGTCTCTGTCCTGAAGTCCTCTCACATTAGTCCTGGTCTCAGGTCTCTGTCCTGAAGTCCTCTCACATTAGTCCTGGTCTCAGGTCTCTGTCCTGAAGTCCTCTCACATTAGTCCTGGTCTCAGGTCTCTGTCCTGAAGTCCTCTCACATTAGTCCTGGTCTCAGGTCTCTGTCCTGAAGTCCTCTCACATTAGTCCTGGTCTCAGGTCTCTGTCCTGAAGTCCTCTCACATTAGTCCTGGTCTCAGGTCTCTGTCCTGAAGTCCTCTCACATTAGTCCTGGTCTCAGGTCTCTGTCCTGAAGTCCTCTCACATTAGTCCTGGCTCAGGTCTCTGTCCTGAAGTCCTCTCACATTAGTCCTGGTCTCAGGTCTCTGTCCTGAAGTCCTCTCACATTAGTTCTGGTCTCAGGTCTCTGTCCTGAAGTCCTCTCACATTAATCCTGGTCTCAGGTCTCTGTCCTGAAGTCCTCTCACATTAGTCCTGGTCTCAGGTCTCTGTCCTGAAGTCCTCTCACATTAGTCCTGGTCTCAGGTCTCTGTCCTGAAGTCCTCTCACATTAGTCCTGGTCTCAGGTCTCTGTCCTGAAGTCCTCTCACATTAATCCAGGTCTCAGGTCTCTGTCCTGAAGTCCTCTCACATTAGTCCTGGTCTCAGGTCTCTGTCCTGAAGTCCTCTCACATTAGTCCTGGTCTCAGGTCTCTGTCCTGAAGTCCTCTCACATTACTCCTGGTCTCAGGTCTCTGTCCTGAAGTCCTCTCACATTAGTCCTGGTCTCAGGTCTCTGTCCTGAAGTCCTCTCACATTAGTCCTGGTCTCAGGTCTCTGTCCTGAAGTCCTCTCACATTAATCCTGGTCTCAGGTCTCTGTCCTGAAGTCCTCTCACATTAGTCCTGGTCTCAGGTCTCTGTCCTGAAGTCCTCTCACATTAGTCCTGGTCTCTGGTCTCTGTCCTGAAGTCCTCTCACATTAGTCCTGGTCTCAGGTCTCTGTCCTGAAGTCCTCTCACATTAGTCCTGGTCTCAGGTCTCTGTCCTGAAGTCCTCTCACATTAGTCCTGGTCTCAGGTCTCTGTCCTGAAGTCCTCTCACATTAATCCTGGTCTCAGGTCTCTGTCCTGAAGTCCTCTCACATTAGTCCTGGTCTCAGGTCTCTGTCCTGAAGTCCTCTCACATTAGTCCTGGTCTCAGGTCTCTGTCCTGAAGTCCTCTCACATTAGTCCTGGTCTCAGGTCTCTGTCCTGAAGTCCTCTCACATTAGTCCTGGTGTAGCTGAACTCTCAGACTGTTTACCGAGCACTTTGTTTAAATAGTTTCAAATCAGTGTCAGCAGACGTCTGTTTACCCAGACATCTGTGTCTCCTGGTCCTGGTCCAGGTCCAGATCCAGGTCCTCATAGGGAACTTGAGTATAGTAGAGGAAAGTATATTTTAGCGTATTCTTGACTAAAACAGATCCCATTTAAATAAACATGAATTATGTTACTGAGACCACGCCCCCAAAGACATCATAGAGTCACAACAAGCAGACATCATAGAGTCACACCAAGCAGACACCATAGAGTCACACCAAGCAGACACCATAGAGTCACAACAAGCAGACACCATAGAGTCACAACAAGCAGACATCATAGAGTCACAACAAGCAGACACCAGAGTCACAACAAGCAGACGTCATAGAGTCACAACAGACATCATAGAGTCACAACAAGCAGACACCATAGAGTCACAACAAGCAGACATCATAGAGTCACAACAAGCAGACATCATAGAGTCACAACAAGCAGACGTCATAGAGTCACAACAGACATCATAGAGCAGGGGTCGGCAACCTAGGGCACGCGTGCCACATGTGGCACGCCGCGGAATAAACACTGGCACGCCGGCACCTCCGCATTATTCTCACTGTATCTGTCATGTTTTAAAAATAAGAGCATCTCCCTCTTTGTCTGAGCGCTTTTTGATGGCCGGCACTAGGACCCAGCGGACACCACTGCGGGGATAAGCTGCGTGCTTCCCTCACCGGTGTGTGTGTAGCTGTGGGTGAAGCCAGGAGCCTGCAGCTGCAGGTGTATGCGAGATTTAAACTTCTTTTTGCACATTCAAAGTAGTAACTGGTGTGCCATTCACTGCAGACGCCTCCTACAATCACTGTGACACGCTGTCAACACTATGTGCGTGAAATCAAAGAGGGAACTGGTGAGTTTAAGCATTTTTGTGCTGCACAGAGCTAGGATGCTAGCGCTAGCCTCTGATGCGATGTTGAATTCGAATATTGTTGTTCTCATGTTGATTCCCTGTGTAGCCGACTATGCCTTTTTATGTGCTCATGTATGGTTACCAGAGCATGAAATTTGCTTGTGTGCTCTTGAACCAAAAGTATTAATACATTTATTTTTGATATGTGCACTGAACTGAATGAATTGTATTGTGATTTATGGTGCAGAGGATTAATTGTGAATTATGAAGTGAGAATGAGTATATTGAGTATATATTTTTTGAACATGTACATGTATTTTTGTAGTAGTGATTTATTGCTAAATGAAACTGTTGGATATTTATATTGGTCCTGTCATGCAGGCCAGGTTCCTTGGATCCGTCCATCCATATGGACTTCTTCTGATGGCGAGCTGCCCCAGGCCGAAAACCTAGAGATTGTCAACCCTACAGTGCGGTAGGAGGCGAGCAGTCTCCCTCATACAACACCACAAACTGAGACAATAACCTGAACTGGATTACTGCAAAGTACACGCTCCACCTTTTCAAACCAACCTGCCAAACCCAACTCAACCGGACTCTCTCACTCAAAACTCGTTCAATTATTTTTTGTAAATATTGTAAATATTGTGAATGTGGGGTGTGTGTGTGTGTAATCTATCCCCTGCCTTTGTAAATATCTATTAGAGGTGCAACGGTTCATCAATGATCCGTGATCTGTTCAGATCAACGTCTTTGGTTCGGTACAGACGTGATCCGCGGTTTGATTTATGAAAAAAAAGTTGTGCACTCCCACTATGTTTTTTTAGTTCACACACAGCGTAATCATGGCGAGCGGATGAACAGAGAAGCCTGTGTCATTTAAATCCTCGGTATGAGAGCATTTTGGCTTCATTGTAACTACACTGATGATTAAATAGTCGACAAAACAGTCACAGTGTAAATACTGTGGCACAAGACCGACCCTTTACGCACAGTCAGACCGGGCTAAAGTCAACTCTCCCGCGTATCCTCAGTTGCGCTCACAACTGACGCTTGGACGTCCTGCGGAACCTATAATAGATCCATGAGCGGTTGAAATAACCATGAAATGTTACGATAACCGCTCACTTACTTAGAGTCACAACAAGCAGACGTCATAGAGTCACAACAAGCAGACATCATAGAGTCACAACAGACATCAGAGTCACAACAAGCAGACGTCATAGAGTCACAACAAGCAGACATCATAGAGTCACAACAGACATCATAAAGTCACAACAAGCAGACGTCATAGAGTCACAACAAGCAGACATCATAGAGTCACAACAAGCAGACGTCATAGAGTCACAACAAGCAGACGTCATAGAGTCACAACAAGCAGACGTCATAGAGTCACAACAAGCAGACGTCAGAGTCACAACAAGCAGACGTCATAGAGTCACAACAAGCAGACGTCATAGAGTCACAACAAGCAGACGTCATAGAGTCACAACAAGCAGACGTCATAGAGTCACAACAAGCAGACATCATAGAGTCACAACAGACATCATAGAGTCACAACAAGCAGACGTCATAGAGTCACAACAAGCAGACATCATAGAGTCACAACAAGCAGACATCATAGAGTCACAACAGACATCATAGAGTCACAACAAGCAGACGTCATAGAGTCACAACAAGCAGACGTCATAGAGTCACAACAAGCAGACGTCATAGTCACAACAAGCAGACATCATAGAGTCACAACAGACATAGAGTCACAACAAGCAGACGTCATAGAGTCACAACAAGCAGACGTCATAGAGTCACAACAAGCAGACGTCAGAGTCACAACAAGCAGACGTCAGAGTCACAACAAGCAGACGTCACAGAGTCACAACAAGCAGACGTCATAGAGTCACAACAAGCAGACGTCATAGAGTCACAACAAGCAGACGTCATAGAGTCACAACAAGCAGACATCATAGAGTCACCACAAGCAGACATCATAGAGTCACAACAAGTAGACATCATAGAGTCACAACAAGCAGACGTCATAGAGTCACAACAAGCAGACGTCATAGAGTCACAACAAGCAGACGTCATAGAGTCACAACAGGCAGATTCAGATTCAGATTATTTGCCATTTGCAGTAAAAACACCACATTGGAATACATTAGCAAAAGTCACCAGTGTGCACAGACAAATACAGACATAAAACAACATTAAAAGACAAAAATAAAAACAAATAACAGTAAACAAATGTCACTGTGAAATCGATCGACTAAAACAGTTTCAAAACAAGTTCAAATCATTAAAGTGCTCTGTTCAAACTGATAACAGCTTGTGGATAAAAACTGTTAGCGTAACGAGATGTCCTGCATCTCAGAGAGCGATATCTTCTGCCAGAGGGAAGAAGCTGGAACATGGCTTTCCCAGGGTGGCCAGAAGAGTCATTGACAATCCTAAGAGCTTTGTTTAAAAGTCTGGATTTATAAAGAACCTCCAGAACAGGAAGCTCACAGCCCACGGTCCTCTTTGCAGAGCGGAGCACCTTGTTTAAAGCTCTCTTTTCTTTATCTGTGATGTTTCCAAACCACACAGACACAGAACCAACAAGTAAACTCTCAATGGTGCAGCGATAAAAGTTAAGCACAATCTTCTCTAAGTTTCCGCAGAAAGTAGAGACGCTGATGAGCTTTCTTAACGACTCGGTCAGTGTTTTTAACCCATTTCAGGTCGTTAGACAGAGTTAAACCCAGAAACTTGCACTCCTCTACGATCTGCACCTGGGAGTTGTCGATTACGACAGGCAAATGAGAACTATTGCGACTGAAGTCGTAGACCAGTTCACATGTTTTCGATGCGTTCAACTGGAGGTTGTTAGTTTTACTCCACTGAACCACATTTTGTATCTCTGCTCTATAGACAGACATCATAGAGTCACAACAAGCAGACGTCATAAAGTCACAACAAGCAGACGTCATAGAGTAACTCTTGACTACACTTCCCAGAATGCCCAGTTTGGGTAAAGCTTAGTGAGGACTACCGTAGCTGGAGAATTAAACGTTGTGTACATGGTTTTAGGGGAAACCAGAGCACCCGGAGGAAACCTATGCAGGCAGAGGGAGAACAAGCAAACTCCACTCAGAAAGACCCTGTTCCGACCGGGATTCGAACCCAGGATCAACCTGCACAGACGCTAACGTACCTCTTGGCTACACTTCCCAGAATGCCCAGTTTGAAGGCGTTCTCTGCACTGACAGGGTCAGTGCACTGACATGGGCGGCGAGACGGCGTCCTGGCCACGGCCACAGCCAGCGTTGCATAATGGTGGGACGATGGTACGACTGTGGTACGACTGTGGTACGACGGTGGTACGACGGTGGTACGACGGTGGTACGACGGTGGTACGACTGTGGTAGCGCCTTCAGCAGCGTCTGTGCCACACTCCGCGGTGAACACTGAGGTAATGAGTAACCGTTGGAGGGATCCGAGCGCAGCGGTTCATTTGAATAAAGGCTATGACACAATCGGCCGATAAGGACCGGAGCCCTGAGGGTCAAAGGGCTGTGTACCGAGGGTCAAAGGGCTGTGTACCTAGGGGCTTTGTGGGGGGGAATGTAGAGTCTAAAGGCAGGTTTCAACAATTCTGTGTGTGATTTATGCTCTTCAGGAAGTGGAGAGGACAGAGTAGAGGCTAAAGAGAGAGGCCAGAGAGAGGGGAGAGGGAGACCAGAGTGAGAGACCAAAGAGAGGTCAGAGAGAGGAGAGAGACCAAAGAGAGACCAGAGAGAGACCAGAGAGAGACCAGAGAGAGACCAGAGAGAGACCAGAGAGAGACCAGAGAGAGACCAGTGAGAGACCAGAGAGAGACCAGTGAGAGACACCAGAGAGACACCAGAGAGACACCAGAGAGAGACCAGAGAGAGACCAGAGAGAGACCAGAGAGAGACCAGAGAGAGACCAGGACATTTGAGATTGACCCAGTACAAGAACATACCTTTGGGACCCCAAATAATCACTGTGACTCTTGATTAATCATATATTTGTTTGATTAATCGGTCACTAGTTTCCGGCGTGTGAGGACAGATGTTTTTGCAGAAGTGGAGGTAGATAAAAAAAAGTTCCGTGACGTTCTTTGGTAAACTTTAGAATTATCTATGACACATTTCCTGTCTGACACTGAATGGATTCATTCACAACGCAACGATTTCTTTAAGTGGACAAACATCTGAACACACCCAGACACAGGAGGCTTCGTGTTCAGGCTATGAATGATAACACTTTCACACTCATGGAAAATAGATCTCTAACTCATGCAAGGCAACCCAGGAGTTTAGGGGAACTGGAGGCCTTTTGTCGAGAAGAACCAGTATATTTAAACATGTATTAGGAACAAAACAAGGAAAAACTATTAAATTACATGTATTAATGTCTAATAACCTTAAATCACAACAGTAGTAACTTCTGAGGACTTTACAAAGTTGTTGATTCACAAACACAGATCAATAACACAAGAATCAAGAATCTGTCCTTAGTACCTCCTGCACTGGCAGTACAGCAGGTCAAACTCAGGCCCGTGGGCCAAATCCGGCCGCGAGACCATTCTTAGTGGCCCCTGAAATTGTTCTTGGTAATTTATAATACAGTAACTTGCAGCATTGATGGTAATGGGATACCGTGGCATGTTATACTTCATTTTTAATCTTATTTTCTCAGGAAAATAACCACATAATCGAATCTGTTGGATGGATCTAGGGCAGGTCCACTTCTGATCCAAGTCCAAACTTTATACTAAAATACTGAGTTAGTCTTCTTCCACAGACAAGAGTGAAGTCATAATGATGTAATAGTTTAATAATAAACAAGGGCACGTGTCTCCTAGCTAACACCATGTGCATCTGTATTAAATGCCACTATGTCCCACACTACAGTTTGTACTCAGAGCTAATAGTAAGTTAGCATTAGCTTATTGAACCCAATGAACTCCACATCTCTGAGCATCCTGCACAACTACAGACAATAACCACACACACTGCTGCTGAGTTCATAAGACACACAATGGATACGTCCACTCACAACAACATGAAGAAGACACATGTAAACAGCTTAATATAAACACATGCTAAAAGTAGCATGTAGCATCAACTGTAGAATTAGCCACAGTTCTGATGAACACGTGGTCTGTAGATGATCTGACCAGAATCAGACTGAAAGTCGGTGAAAACAAAACCAAAGTCCACGTGTTTGTGGTGTGGCTGGGTGATGCAAACTCACATGCTGTCAGTGCCATGCTAACAGGCTAGCTAGCATGCTAACAGCAGCAACAGCAAAATTAGCTTCATAAATCGCGCACTTGCCTGGATAAACTTCACTCTGTTAGCGGCAGGTATCGCCGTGTCCGGGGCCGTGTGTGTCCTCTGAGGAGCCCGGGTCCCGGAGGCTAAAACAGCAGAAGAACCATGTCCCGCAGGAGGAGAGAAACCCTCCTGAAGCCGAGTGTTGTCAGAGTCTGATCCACAGACTGACCCACAGGCTGAGCAGGGACTGAGCAGGGACCTCTGACAGCAGCACAGCGCCCTCCAGCGGACACTCTGGAATCAGGGCTATTATTCTACATTTATACTACAAAAGTGTTCAGCGTTATGTCATTACGTCATTACGTTAAGAGGACGTATCAATAATAATAATAACAATATGTAACGAAGCTTCTCTTTCACTTCACTCCTGTTTCATCTCATTTCCACAAATACTGGTTTGTTGTGGGTACGTTGCTAAGATACGGTACCAGATGCTAAGACCAGAGAGAGACCAGAGGGACCAGAGAGAGACCAGGGAGGCCAGAGAGAAACCAGAGAGAGACCAGAGGGACCAAAGAGAGAAACCAGGGAGAGACCAGAGAGAGAGAGAGACCAGGGAGAGATCAGAGAGAGACCAGAGAGAGAAACAAGATAGAAAACAGAGAGAGACCAGAGAGAAATCAGAGAGAGACCAAAGAGAGATCAGAGAGAGGCCAGAGAGAGAGACCAGAGAGAGACCAGCGAGAAAGACCATAGAGAGACCAGAGAGAGAGACCAGAGAGAGACCAGAGAGAGATACCAGAAAGAGACCAGAGAGAGAGACCAGAGAGAGAGACCAGACCAGTACAGTAGAGTAGAAACTACATTTGAAACGAACCCATAAATAAACCATGTACAGATGAAAGTAATAAAAGTCATATTTATTTCATATAAAACACAATACAATAAAGACAGAAATATTTAAATATTTGGTATAAACCTTAACAATGGTGTAACACTGGTATTCCACATGGTCCTTGTTTCTTTGTTGTTTGGATCAAAGTCAGAATGGTTACTTTGTGTCGTTTCTACAGAACTGCACTTGAAGTCCCACGAGCAAAAAAGTTTGCTCCTTTATCATGGACTTTGTACTGAAACAGCTTCTTCACAGGGAGGGGAGTATCAGGCTGTGGAATCCTCCAGGTAACCTCCATCTGCAGAGAGATCAGACAGAGAGAGACCAGAGAGAGACCAGAGAGAGACCAGAGAGGGACCAGAGAGGGACCAGAGAGGGACCAGAGAGGGACCAGAGAGACCAGAGAGAGACCAGAGAGGGACCAGAGAGGGACCAGAGAGAGACCAGAGAGAGACCAGAGAGAGACCAGAGAGAGAGACCAGAGAGAGACCAGAGAGAAAGACCAGAGAGAAAGACCAGAGAGAGAGACCAGAGAAAGACCAGAGAGAGACCAGAGAGGGACCAGAAAGAGACCAGAGAGAAAGACCAGAGAGAAAGATCAGAGAGAAAGACCAGAGATAGAGACCAGAGAGAGAGACCAGAGAAAGACCAGAGAGAGACCAGAGAGAGAGACCAGAGAGAGAGACCAGAGAGAGAGACCAGAGAGAGAACAGAGAGAGAGACCAGAGAGAGACCAGAGAGAGACCAGAGAGAGAGACCAGAGAGAGAGACCAGAGAGAGAGACCAGAGAGAGAGACCAGAGAGAGAGACCAGAGAGAGACCAGAGAGAGACCAGAGAGAGACCAGAGAGAGACCAGAGAGGGACCAGAGAGAGACCAGAGAGAGACCAGAGAGAGACCAGAGAGAGTGAGGAGACAAAAACAGATGAAAGATGAAAGAATTAAACATATTACATTTTTTGTGTATCACTCGACTCTAGAGTGTTTCCTTGTCCTGTGTAACCAAAACCAGGTCCTTCTTTAGGGTTAAAGGTCCTATATCACGCTTTTCTTCATGTTTCACACTCAGTCCTATGCACATGAGTGATATTAATGTGTGTGATACACCACACAACAATGAAAGCTTTTGAGATTAGAGCCATCTCTTGTATAGAGGTGACGTCACCTCGACTCAAACGAGCTGATCCAGAGAAGAGTCTGCTCCTCTGTCTGTGAGCCCGCCTCCCCCCGCCCGCACGGTGACGTAGCATCACGCTTTTGTCGTTTATCACCTGTACTTAGTAATTTCATACATAAGAATAAACTTTTTCCAACAATGACAATCCGTCACATCAAGCCCTATGTCCTCGATGCACAATCAGACCCTAGTTATTTAGTTTACAGAAGTATACAGCGAGTTAGCGTCACTACTTACAGATCGAGGGGGTCCGAGTTACGTCTTTTACCGTGGGAATAACGTGTTTCCAGATCAGCTTTTGAGTAAGTCCAGTTCCATTGTCCCTGTAGTTCTGGAACAGTCTCAGTGAAGTGTCGCAGATGAACCGGTATTATAATAGATCCATGAGATGAACAGATGAAAAAAGTCGAGCCGCTTTCTTCCTCTTAGGGCCAAATAGTGTGTCACATATTTACACCCATAACACACTTCATTCAAGTTGACGTGATCCTAACACTTTTAGTTGCTGACAAAAGCATAAAAACAGCAGCTCTATGTGGTGTCCGGAGACCAAGCCACAGACGCTGGACTCGGGAGCCGGAGCCTGTGCGCTCTGATTCGCTGTTTTGATCCGTCAATCACCTCCCGCCGGCTTTTAGTTTATTTTTATTAGGCCGAGCCAATACGAAGTATTGGGGAGGCCTATTGTTATTCACCGGTTTCATATTATTTTTTTTCCGCATCTTCAATTTGATTTTTGACCCTGAGGACATGCACGAAAGTCTGCACATGGGGGGTCTAAAACGACCGGTTCGGCGAAACATTTGATAAAACGGATGTTTCGAGATTGTCCGACAAAAGGCAAATCAATAGCGCCCCCTTGAAAATTCAAAATTTGCCATTTCTATTGGAGGCAGGATGGCATATTTTGGAGTAGGTGCACGAAATTCGGATGAGTGATAGATCTGTATGAGACGAGCATAAAAGCCGTTCTAAGCACATGTCTGGGACCAGCGGAAGTTTCGCCCCTAATTTGACTTTTCATTTATAAATTCGAACTAGTCCCTGGTTTTTCATCACACACAGTTCTACCATGTCATTTCCTAATCTGGACAGATTGAAGTTATATAATCATTAACATCAATATCTCAGTTTCCGGTCAAAAAATTCAAATCGTGACAGAATACAAATATCTGGGAGTAACAATAGACTCAAAGCTGACATTCAAATCCCACATAAAAAACATTTCCAATAAAGTCAAATTCAACCTAGCTAATTTCCGGTTCATCAGATCCAACTTATCACTTCAGTCCGCAAGATTATTCATGTTTTCTATGGTTCTGTCTCACATTACATACTGCTTAACCACATGGTCACAGGCAAACAAAACATCCCTAAAACCAATAGAATCCTTATACAAGCAAACACTCAAGATACTGGACAAAAAACCACAAAGATTTCACCACTGTTCCATTTTACAAAAACACCATCTTCTAAATTGGACAAATGTCATCAAATACTCTAATCTCTGTCTCATTTACAAGATCATTCATGGTTCATCTTCACCTCCTCTCAATCAATTTATCACAGTCAGGAACACCACACACAGGGTAACCAGGGGGGCCGCCCGTGGGGACTGTGTTATCCCACTCCGGAAGAGCGCCTTCAGCCAGAGTGCCTTCTCTGTGAGGGCGTCTCAGGCGTGGAACACAGTCCCATCAAACATCAGAGAACTGGCCTCATACAATCTGTTCAAAACTCATCTCAAATCATGGTTCATTACAAAACAGTCCTGTCAACACTAACTTTTAACTAATTGTATATATGGTAAATGTACACTGTTTTTATCATTGTTGTTTTGTATACAAGTGTTGTGTTTGCTTTTAGGTTGACATTTTAAATCTGTCCAGGGACAACGGATGGAAAATAGCCTTGTGGCTAATTCTGGTACATTTACAGTAATGTTCATTAATGTACACTGTCCCTGTCAAATAAACTAATAAATAAATAATAATAAATAAAAAAAAGTTAGAAAATCTTCACCGTTTTTGTCCCTCGCCATGGCGAATAAGGCTTCGTTTTTGCCATTTTCGCTGAGCCCTGAGGGCCACAGGCTCAGACCTACAGAGCTGAGACTCACATCAGTAATATTAGGTTATGGCCTGAACGCAATGACACTAAAATCATTCGCCCAATTTGAGCTCTTTAGCGCCACCTGTCGGAAAGTAATAGGGCACTAGTGCTCGGATCGGCCCGAAAATCGCTGAGTGTATTCTCTAGACCGAGACGAGCAAAACATTACATTACGCAAAAGTTGTAAGTCCTACACCTGACCACTGGGGGCGCCGGAAAGTGAATGAAGTGAATTCCGGACTGCGCTCTGGAGCTGCAGGGCTTTGGGCTGTTCCGCGCGGATCGCCATTGTGCGCTCTCAGGGAAGAGCAGAGGCGGTGGGCTGTGTTTCTACGTCAATACAAACTGGTGTAACGATGTGACAGTGATCTCCAAGCACTGCTCTCCTGCTCTGGAATATCTTTTCATTCATTGTAAACCATATTACTCCCCGCGCGAAATTGTTTCATTCATTCTTGCCTCTGTTTACATACCGCCATGCGCGGACGCGCGCGAGGCTCAGCGCGCACTCGCAGAGCAAGTACTGTGTATGGAACGCTTATACCCGGACTCTCTGATTATTATCCTGGGGGATTTTAATAAGGGAAACTTGAGCCAGGAATTACCCAAATACAGACAGTTTATCAAATGCCCGACCAGAGAGAACACTCTGGATCACTGTTACACCACCGTGCGCGGAGCTTTTCGCGCTGTTCCCAAGCCAGCCCTCGGCTTCTCAGATCACTCCATGATACATCTGGTTCCTGCTTACAGACAGAGACTAAAGCTCTCGAAACCTGCAATGAGGAGCTCCAAAGTGTGGTCTGATGAAGCTGTGGAAGAGCTGCGCGCATGCATGGAATCTACAGACTGGGACCTTTTCAGAGCTGCCACAGATAGTTTGGATGAATATACGGACACTGTGACGTCATACATCCACTTCTGCGAGGATAGCATCATTCCAACAAGGACCAGGGTCATCTATAACAACGACAAACCCTGGTTCACTGAAAGCTCAGGAAAGCAAAGGAGTCTGCTTTCAGGGAGGGGGACCGCAGCGGCTACAAAGCAGCTAAATATCAGTTCAGGAGAGAACTGAAAGCAGCCAAGTCCCGGCACAGAGAACGACTACAGGAGCAGTTTGGTAACAACGATACTGCTTCTGTCTGGAGGGGCCTACGGGAGATCACCAACTACAAACCCAAAGCCCCCCCCTGTGCTGACGACCACAAGCTAGCTGACGATCTGAACTTATTTTTCAGTCGCTTTGATGCTGCCCCTGACACCTCTCCCTCCCCCACCCCCCACTACTCTAACGACCCACCCATCAGCCCTGCCCCCAGCCTAACAATAGCCGCTAAAGAGATTAAACAACTCTTCCTGAGGCTGCACCCCCGCAAAGCTCCTGGCCCGGACCACGTGTCTCCGGCCACTCTGAGACACTGCGCCAGTGAGCTTACTCCTGTGTTCACGGACATTTTCAACACCTCTCTGCAGTCCTGCCATGTCCCGGCCTGCTTCAAATCCTCCATCATTGTCCCCGTCCCGAAGAAGCCCAGGATCACAGGACTCAATGACTACAGACCTGTAGCACTTACGTCTGTCGTCATGAAGTCATTTGAACGCCTGGTTCTCTCCCATCTCAAGTCCCTCACCTCCCCCCTCCTGGACCCCCTGCAGTTCGCCTACAGAGCCAACAGATCTGTAGACGACGCCATTAACCTGGCCCTCCACATCCTACAGCACCTGGACTCCCCGGGGACCTACGCCAGGGTCCTGTTCGTGGACTTCAGCTCTGCCTTCAACACAATCCTGCCATCCCTGCTCCAGGACAAGCTCTCCAAGCTCAACGTGCCCGATTCCACCTGCAGGTGGATCACTGACTTCCTGACGACAGGAAGCAGCGAGTGCGTCTGGGGAAGAATGTCTCGGACTCTCGGATTATAAATACAGGAGACCCACAGGGCTGTGTTCTTTCTCCCCTGCTCTTCTCCCTGTACACCAACTACTGCACCTCCAGCCACGACTCCGTGAAGCTGATCAAGTTCGCGGACGACACCACCCTCATTGGACTCATCTCCAACAACGATGAGTCCGCCTACAGGAGGGAGGTGGACCGGCTGGTGTCCTGGTGCAGTGGTAACAACCTGGAGCTGAACGCCCAGAAGACAGTGGAGATGATTGTGGACTTCAGGAAGAGCACTGTCCCCCCGCCCCCACCCTCCGTGATGGACTCCCCCATCACTTCTGTGGAGTCCTTCCGTTTCCTGGGCACCACCATCACCCAGGACCTCAAGTGGGAGCCGACCATCAGCTCCCTCATCAAGAAGGCCCAGCAGAGGATGTACTTCCTGCGGCAGCTCAGGAAAGCCAAGCTGCCTGCACAGATGTTGGTGCAGTTCTACACGGCCATCATCGAGTCCATCCTCACCTCCTCCGTCACCGTGTGGTTCGCTGGAGCCACAGTCAGGGACAAACAGAGACTACAGCGCATTGTGCGCTCTGCAGAGGAAGTGATCGGCCGCAGCCTTCCATCGCTGCAGGACCTGTACGTCGCCCGAGCTCGAGGCCGGGCTGGTCGTATCACAGCCGACCCCTCTCACCCTGCACATGGACTATTCCAACCACTCCCCTCAGGCAGGAGGCTGCGGTCCATCAGGACTAGAACCTCCCGCCACAAGAACAGTTTCTTTTTTGGGGCAAAATATTTGTCCGATGAGGCTAAAAATTAATTCAGAAATACAGCGTATGACCCTGAACACAACGATATGCAACACACAACTGTGAGTGCAACAGCGCCACCTACAGGCAGTTCAAGGTGTTGCATTTTTTGCTTCATACTAGTCCCTGGATTTTCATCGCACAGACTTCTACCATGTCATTTCTCCATCTGGACGGATTGAAGTTATGCAATCATTGCATAAAAGTTAGAATTTTGTTATCGTTTTCATGCGAGGTAGTGGGGAATTTCTCCATGTTTGATGCTCTCCTGACCACAAGCTCAGACCTACAGAGCTGAAACTCACATCACTAACAGTTGGTAATGGCCTGAAAGTAATGGTGTGAAAACACACACCTAATATGACTCTACAGCGCCACCTATGGAAGGCTTCTGACCTAAACTTTTCCGATCTTCACCAAAGTTGCAAAATCAAATCTTTACATCTGTACGAGCAAAATACTACTCTACGTAGAGGGTGCATGTCCCGGAGGTGACCACTAGGGACGCACTTTATCATATAAATTAGCTTTTCTTTACGTAATCCTGGTCAGATTGGGCTGCCAATTCGTCGCCGTGACGCTTGTGGGACTGGCGCCCAGGAGGCGGTCGCAAGAGGGGCGAGGTCTTTCATCGCCGCTTGCGGCTTTAATTTTTATTATTTTTAACAAAAAACAGCATACTAATTGTGTATTGTTTCCCCCTTTTGACAAAAGTATTTAAATACAAACCAAACAGGGTCATGCGCGTCATCAGTGTGGTTTTCGTCACTGAAGTGGACCCGAGCGTTTCTGTGCCTCACGATGGGGAAGGAGACAGATTGCTCTCTTACAAAAGATTGACAGAATCAATGAATAAACTACTGTGGGCTTGTGTATGAAGGCCAAATAGCATTGTAATCATGTTTAAAGCAGAGAAAAGTCAAAAACCGTGATACGGGCCCTTTAAAGTGTTCTAACTGACAGTGATTGGCCTAAGTGCTGCTGGAAGCCATGGTTACCAAGGAATTTCTCCAAAACTGGTTTGTTGTGTGTAGGTTGTTAGGATACGGTGGCAGATCCCAGCGTGTAATAAAACCACAGATTTAAGCCCATAACAGTTACTGATCTAGAGGAGTTTCACTTCTACATGGAAGTGAATAGGTGCCAGAGAGAGGAGCCAGACTTCACCTTGAGCACTTCCCTGTTGGGCTTCATTGAGCTAGCAGGTTAGCATTGTGCTACCTGTTTAAGGTCTGTGGTTTAGAATTGAGCTACCTGTCCGTGGATGTCCCTGCAGTAGCCGGTGGGCAGACCCTGGACATGAAGACCCAGCGAGCTCTGGTGAGTCAGGCCTCTCAGCAGCAGCTCTGCACCTTCATCATCTCCATCCTCCTCCTCCTCTTCCTCACAGTGCAGCAGCATCACCACGTTTCCCTGGTAACAAGGAATGCTACTGAGTCAAAAGTTTTAAATACATCGATTACATATGTCAAGTGACAGTCTGTGTTAGCATTGTCCATCTGTATACAGTCTGTGTTAGCATTGTCCATCTGTATACAGTCTGTGTTAGCATTGTCCATCTGTATACAGTCTGTGTTAGCATTAGCATCTGTATACAGTCTGTGTTAGCATTAGCATCTGTATACAGTCTGTGTTAGCATTGTCTATCTGTATACAGTCTGTGTTAGCATTAGCATCTGTATACAGTCTGTGTTGTACATATATCCTGCATGTAACATGTTTGCACATTTCCTCCCTTTGCACAATCTGAGTGTCTCTATCCATGCCAAATGTGACATGTAAATTTCTCCTCTGTGAGATAAATAAAGCACATCTTATCTTATCGTATACAGTCTGTGTTAGCATTAGCATCTGTATACAGTCTGTGTTAGCATTAGCATCTGTATACAGTCTGTGTTAGCATTAGCATCTGTATACAGTCTGTGTTAGCATTAGCATCTGTATACAGTCTGTGTTAGCATTAGCATCTGTATACAGTCTGTGTTAGCATTAGCATCTGTATACAGTCTATGTTAGCATTAGCATCTGTATACAGTCTGTGTTAGCATTAGCATCTGTATACAGTCTGTGTTAGCATTAGCATCTGTATACAGTCTGTGTTAGCATTAGCATCTGTATACAGTCTGTGTTAGCATTAGCATCTGTATACAGTCTGTGTTAGCATTAGCATCTGTATACAGTCTATGTTAGCATTAGCATCTGTATACAGTCTATGTTAGCATTAGCATCTGTATACAGTCTGTGTTAGCATTAGCATCTGTATACAGTCTGTGTTAGCATTGTCCATCTGTATACAGTCTGTGTTAGCATTAGCATCTGTATACAGTCTATGTTAGCATTAGCATCTGTATACAGTCTATGTTAGCATTAGCATCTGTATACAGTCTGTGTTAGCATTAGCATCTGTATACAGTCTGTGTTAGCATTGTCCATCTGCATACAGTCTGTGTTAGCATTAGCATCTGCATACAGTCTGTGTTAGCATTAGCATCTGCATACAGTCTGTGTTAGCATTAGCATCTGTATACAGTCTGTGTTAGCATTAGCATCTGTATACAGTCAGTGTTAGCTTTAGCATCTGTATACAGACGGTGTTAGCATTAGCATCTGTATACAGTCTGTGTTAGCATTAGCATCTGTATACAGTCTATGTTAGCATTAGCATCTGTATACAGTCTATGTTAGCATTAGCATCTGTATACAGTCTATGTTAGCATTAGCATCTGTATACAGTCTGTGTTAGCATTAGCATCTGTATACAGTCTGTGTTAGCATTAGCATCTGCATACAGTCTGTGTTAGCATTAGCATCTGTATACAGTCTATGTTAGCATTAGCATCTGTATACAGTCTATGTTAGCATTAGCATCTGTATACAGTCTGTGTTAGCATTAGCATCTGTATACAGTCTGTGTTAGCATTAGCATCTGCATACAGTCTGTGTTAGCATTAGCATCTGTATACAGTCTGTGTTAGCATTAGCATCTGTATACAGTCTATGTTAGCATTAGCATCTGTATACAGTCTGTGTTAGCATTGTCCATCTGCATACAGTCTGTGTTAGCATTAGCATCTGCATACAGTCTGTGTTAGCATTAGCATCTGTATACAGTCTGTGTTAGCATTAGCATCTGTATACAGTCAGTGTTAGCTTTAGCATCTGTATACAGTCTGTGTTAGCATTAGCATCTGTATACAGTCTGTGTTAGCATTAGCATCTGTATACAGTCTGTGTTAGCATTAGCATCTGTATACAGTCTGTGTTAGCATTAGCATCTGTATACAGTCTGTGTTAGCATTAGCATCTGTATACAGTCTGTGTTAGCTTGTACCTGTAGCTTGGAGCAGACTGTGGCTCTGCAGTAGTGGCTGAAGTCCAAGACGGCCCCCACGCTCACCCCGAGGCTCAGGAGGAGGCTGACATCATCCACCAGGAGCACAGGGGGCCCCCACTCCTCCGCCCCCCCACTGCCCTCAGGGGCCCCCACAGAGCTGGTACTGGAGAGCACAAAGTGGAACAGCTTCTGGAGGCCTTCTGTAGGATCCCTGAAAGAGAGAGACATGAGTCAAGTGTACAGGGACAGGGATTAGAAATGGTCTGGTTTTTATTTGTACTGGAAGAGGGAGACCAGAGAGAGACCAGAGAGAGACCAGAGAGAGACCAGAGAGAGACCAGAGAGAGACCAGAGAGAGACCAGAGAGAGACCAGAGAGAGACCAGAGAGAGACCAGAGAGAGACCAGAGAGAGACCAGAGAGAGAGACCAGAGAGAGACCAGAGAGAGAGACCAGAGAGAGAGAGAGAGCAGAGAGAGACCAGAGAGAGAGAGAGACCAGAGAGAGACCAGAGAGAGACCAGAGAGAGACCAGAGAGAGACCAGAGAGAGACCAGAGAGAGACCAGAGAGAGACCAGAGAGAGACCAGAGAGAGACCAGAGAGAGACCAGAGAGAGAGAGCAGAGAGAGAGACAGCAGAGAGAGACCAGAGAAAGAATCGAGAGAGAGACCATAGAGAGAGAGAGACTAGAGGGAGACCAGAGAGTATCAAGAGAGACTTGAGAGAGACCAGAGGGAGAGAGAGTGATCAGGGAGAGACCACAGAGAGACTAGAGAGAGACCTCACCTGAGGAAGTTCAGTGTGTCACTTCCTGTCTGATGGTTTTGTGGAATCAGATGTGAGAGAGAGTCCTGCAGAGCCTCCAGAAACACCAGCTGACCTCTGTCCTTTGCCTGGACCAGACTGACCCCCTGTGGAGACACCAGCAACAGGTCAAGGAGCGATAGTACGAGCTGGGTAGTGCTGGGATGGGAGACCTCTGGGAACAGCAGGTGCCACAGTGGGGCAGCTACTGCTGTAAAGTGCCAAACTGTGGTTGTGTCCTTGGGCAAGACACTTCCCCCACATTAGAGTGAGTCTGGTGTGTGTGTGAGTGGTTGGTGGTGGGAGGGGCCGATGGCACAGTCTGGTTGCCTCGCTTCTGTCAGTGTGCCCCAGGGCAGCTGTGGCTACAGTAGTTAATCACCATCGTGTTTGTAGAGAGAGAACAATGACAATAACAACACTATAGTGAAAGACTAACAAACCAACCAGGTGTAAAACAGAACACACAGTCTATGTTTTAACACTTATGAGCCCAGGACCAGGTTACATTGTTTTTGACACATTTCAACATTTTGTGGTGAATGGAATGTAGAGCAGGTGGAAACAGGGCTTTAGATTAAAATAATCTATAATCTATAAAGTTGTCTAAATAAATACTAAATCTGAAGCAATGAAAACTCCAGCTAGTATAAAGTATCAGTGTGCCCCAGGGCAGCTGTGGCTCTAGAGTCCAGAACTCACCAGTCTCTGGCTGACTGCGTGGTAATGACTGAAGGACTGCGCCAGCCCCAGGAAGCAGACTTTACAGCGAGCTGAAACAGAACACAGAGAGCAGGTATGAGGCAGCAGAGGGCCACACACAGATTACACCGAGGACCGCATTTGGCCCGCGGGCCATAGCTTGGACATGCATCTGTTGGTGGAGAGGGGACAGTCACATGTGGAGCTATAAACATAAATAGATAATATAAGGCCATATTTCTGGACACATCTGACAAAGCCAGAGCATCTGCAGTGACAGTTACTTTTGCAGAACAGAAACCCACAGACTTCATTCCTCACAAGTTTAACCTTTTGTTAAATACAAACCTCGAAGATAAAAGGACAGGAAGTGGTGGATGAGAAACGCAGCGTCACCTCTTCTTTCTGAGATCAATATGAATTCTTCCTGTAAAACACCGTGGGTTTAATTGTTAGTGTCACGGACAGCTGACATGTGTAAACATGACACATGCTAATGCTAATGCTAACAGCTACAGTCTATGCTAGCTCCACGAGGACAGATCGTGTTTAGCTGCTGATCACATTAGAGCTGTATTCTAAATGCTATTGTAGATGTAGGTTTACCTTCGAGGACTTCTCCGGGAAGATATTTAAGATATTGTTGAGCTCTGTAAACATGGCGACTGTTGTAAAGTTACTCTGACGCTAGAGGGCGCTGTGCGTCTGCTCTGGGACCCGGAAGTGACACTACAGTCTGTTCACCACACACGGATCTATGATAATAACATTCAAACACATGGCTTTGTTATTCCTCTGATGTGAAACTGAACCAGACCCTCTCAGTGCGCGGGACGTGCAGCAGGTATGTGTGTATATATGTATGAGTGTGTGAGTGTATGTATGAATGAGTGTGTGAGTGTATGTATGAGTGTGTGAGTGTATGTATGTATGTGTGAGTGTATGTATGAGTGTATATATGTATGTATGTGTGTGTGTCTGTGTGTATGAGGATAAAGAGACACTAGAGTTATTGTATAGATCTTTTTACCTTTAAACTGTCAAATTTAAGTCTTTGGATTAAAAACAATTAAATTGCTGGACTAGGCCCTGTAGGTTTAGCCTCTGATCACTCATTTACTCTAATTATAAGTGGGAACGGTCTCTTCACAGTTGTTGATGTATGTTGGCTGAGGAACGTGACTTTAAAGATCGGGTACTAACTTTAAAGATCGGGTACTAACTTTAAAGCTGTAGTATATCACTTTAAGACAACACCACTCTAAAATATAGACCAGAGACACTTTGCATCGGCAGTTGTCATTTATTTTTGGGAGACACCAGAAAGACGAGAGAGAGAGCAGAGAGAGAGCACAGAGAGAGGGAGACCAGAGAGAGAGGGAGACCAGAGAGAGAGACCAGAGAGAGAGGGAGACCAGAGAGAGGGAGACCAGAGAGAGAGAGACCAGAGAATCTGATTTTGACAGTTACCATAGTTACCAGCAAAGGTTTCTCAGTTTCCCTCCACCACGATGTGAAACCAAAGACACTTTTGAATGCTGTGATGTCACACTCCCTGAACGTGGACCTCTCTCTCCGACAGAGATGAAGGCAGAGGACCTGGAGCTGATCCGGTCCTGGTGCGGGGCCCGGTCTGTGCGGCGGGGGCCCGTGATCCAGACCCTGTGGAGCGGGTACGGCGACATCACCCGGGTGCTGCTGCAGGGCTGTGAGCGCCCCTCTGTGGTCGTCAAACACGTGAGGCCCCCGGCACAGACCGCCTCAGACCGGTCCCACCAGAGACCGCCTCAGACCGCCTCAGACCGGTCCCACCAGAGGAAGGTCCGCTCCTACCAGGTGGAGGCTCATTGGTATCAGAACTACACCACTGGTCCCAGCTGTCGGACCCCGGTCTGCCTGGGGTCCACCTCCAGGGGCCGCGAGATGATGATGGTGTTGGAGGACCTAGACGTAGCTGGATTCGACCAACGCAAGTAAGAGACCAGAGAGAGACCAGAGAGAGAGACCAGAGAGAGAGACCAGAGAGAGAGACCAGAGAGAGAGACCAGAGAGAGAGACCAGAGAGAGAGACCAGAGAGAGAGACCAGAGAGAGAGACCAGAGAGAGAGACCAGAGAGAGAGACCAGAGAGAGACCAGAGAGAGAGACCAGAGAGAGAGACCAGAGAGAGGCCAGAGAGAGGCCAGAGAGAGGCCAGAGAGAGAGGCCAGAGAGAGACCAGAGAGAGAGACCAGAGAGAGAGACCAGAGAGAGAGACCAGAGAGAGAGACAAGAGAGAGACAAGAGAGAGACAAGAGAGAGACCAGAGAGAGACCAGAGAGAGACCAGAGAGACCTTCATGCTCAGGGCTTGTACATCATCTCCTCTGTCCAGGACCAGTGTGGGGGACAGAGAGATGAGGGTGTGTCTGCGCTGGCTCGCCCACTTCCACGCCCTGTTCCTGGGGAGAAACCCGGACGGACTGTGGCCCGTGGGGACCTACTGGCACCTGGAGACCCGGCCTGACGAGCTGGAGGCCATGGACCACCCGGAGCTCCGGGCAGCAGCCGCGGACATCGACAGGACCCTCTCCAACTGCCGCTTCCAGACCATTGTCCACGGAGACGCCAAACTCGCCAACTTCTGCTTCTCCTGCAGCGGGGAGGAGGTGGCGGCCGTGGACTTCCAGTACGTGGGGGGAGGCTGCGGCATGAAGGACGTGGCGTACTTCTTAGGCAGCTGCATGGAGGAGCGCGAGTGTGAGGAGAAGGTACCTGTGCTCCTGGATTACTACTTCACTGAACTGAGGAGAGCTGTGGGCAGAGAGGAGGGCAGAGAGGAGGGCAGAGAGGAGGGCAGAGAGGAGGTCCCTGCTGTGGACACGGTGGCCTTGGAGGCAGAGTGGAGGCAGATGTTTGCGTTCTCCTGGACAGACTTCCATCGCTTCCTCCTCGGCTGGAGCCCCGGACACTGGAAGATCCACGGCTACAGCAGGAGGCTCACAGAGGAGGTCCTGAAGCAGCTGCAGCAGGAGGCCCACAGAAGAGGTCCTGAAGCAGCTGCAGCAGGAGGCCCACAGAGGAGGTCCTGAAGCAGCAGGAAGCTCACAGAGGAGGTCCTGAAGCAGCAGGAGGTCCTGAAAACATCACTGCTTTAGAAGAGATCTGCAGGAGGAATGGGCCAAAATACCTGCAACAGTGTGAGAGCCCTGTGAAGACACTGAGACTTTGTTTGTGACTAAACTGTTATTTTACATCAAATAAATAGATTTTGTGGATTTTCTTTTTATCCTCTTGTTTCTGAGACCAGAGAGAGACCAGAGAGAGAGACCAGAGAGAGAGACCAGAGAGAGAGACCAGAGAGAGAGACCAGAGAGAGACTAGAGAGAGACCAGAGAGGGACCAGAGAAGAAACAGAGAGAGAGACTAGAAAGAGACCAGAGAGAGACTAGAGAAAGAGCAGAGAGAGATGTATTACAATCATTATCAATCCAGAGAATCTGAAATGTTACATTTGAGCCGCACCCATTGCTCTACATCAGTCCTCTGACCCGAACTGTCCTCTACACTGCTCCATAGACTACACAGGGAGAGCATCAGAAGACGCGGACCTGCGCGCACGGCCTGTGTAGATACTCCAAAAAAATGTTACGCGCAGAGAGCGCGCAGTAAACGCGTACGCGCTGTTTACGCCTACTGTGTAAATTCCCTGTTAGAGTTATTGTATAGATCTTTTTACCTTTAAACTGTCAAATTTAAGTCTTTGGATTAAAAACAATTAAATTGCTGGACTAGGCCCTGTAGGTTTAGCCTCTGATCACTCATTTACTCTAATTATAAGTGGGAACGGTCTCTTCACAGTTGTTGATGTATGTTGGCTGAGGAACGTGACTTTAAAGATCGGGTACTAACTTTAAAGATCGGGTACTAACTTTAAAGCTGTAGTATATCACTTTAAGACAACACCACTCTAAAATATAGACCAGAGACACTTTGCATCGGCAGTTGTCATTTATTTTTGGGAGACACCAGAAAGACGAGAGAGAGAGCAGAGAGAGAGCACAGAGAGAGGGAGACCAGAGAGAGAGGGAGACCAGAGAGAGAGACCAGAGAGAGAGGGAGACCAGAGAGAGGGAGACCAGAGAGAGAGAGACCAGAGAATCTGATTTTGACAGTTACCATAGTTACCAGCAAAGGTTTCTCAGTTTCCCTCCACCACGATCTGAAACCAAAGACACTTTTGAATGCTGTGATGTCACACTCCCTGAACGTGGACCTCTCTCTCCGACAGAGATGAAGGCAGAGGACCTGGAGCTGATCCGGTCCTGGTGCGGGGCCCGGTCTGTGCGGCGGGGGCCCGTGATCCAGACCCTGTGGAGCGGGTACGGCGACATCACCCGGGTGCTGCTGCAGGGCTGTGAGCGCCCCTCTGTGGTCGTCAAACACGTGAGGCCCCCGGCACAGACCGCCTCAGACCGGTCCCACCAGAGACCGCCTCAGACCGCCTCAGACCGGTCCCACCAGAGGAAGGTCCGCTCCTACCAGGTGGAGGCTCATTGGTATCAGAACTACACCACTGGTCCCAGCTGTCGGACCCCGGTCTGCCTGGGGTCCACCTCCAGGGGCCGCGAGATGATGATGGTGTTGGAGGACCTAGACGTAGCTGGATTCGACCAACGCAAGTAAGAGACCAGAGAGAGACCAGAGAGAGAGACCAGAGAGAGAGACCAGAGAGAGAGACCAGAGAGAGAGACCAGAGAGAGAGACCAGAGAGAGAGACCAGAGAGAGAGACCAGAGAGAGAGACCAGAGAGAGAGACCAGAGAGAGAGACCAGAGAGAGACCAGAGAGAGAGACCAGAGAGAGAGACCAGAGAGAGGCCAGAGAGAGGCCAGAGAGAGGCCAGAGAGAGAGGCCAGAGAGAGACCAGAGAGAGAGACCAGAGAGAGAGACAAGAGAGAGACAAGAGAGAGACAAGAGAGAGACCAGAGAGAGACCAGAGAGAGACCAGAGAGACCTTCATGCTCAGGGCTTGTACATCATCTCCTCTGTCCAGGACCAGTGTGGGGGACAGAGAGATGAGGGTGTGTCTGCGCTGGCTCGCCCACTTCCACGCCCTGTTCCTGGGGAGAAACCCGGACGGACTGTGGCCCGTGGGGACCTACTGGCACCTGGAGACCCGGCCTGACGAGCTGGAGGCCATGGACCACCCGGAGCTCCGGGCAGCAGCCGCGGACATCGACAGGACCCTCTCCAACTGCCGCTTCCAGACCATTGTCCACGGAGACGCCAAACTCGCCAACTTCTGCTTCTCCTGCAGCGGGGAGGAGGTGGCGGCCGTGGACTTCCAGTACGTGGGGGGAGGCTGCGGCATGAAGGACGTGGCGTACTTCTTAGGCAGCTGCATGGAGGAGCGCGAGTGTGAGGAGAAGGTACCTGTGCTCCTGGATTACTACTTCACTGAACTGAGGAGAGCTGTGGGCAGAGAGGAGGGCAGAGAGGAGGTCCCTGCTGTGGACACGGTGGCCTTGGAGGCAGAGTGGAGGCAGATGTTTGCGTTCTCCTGGACAGACTTCCATCGCTTCCTCCTCGGCTGGAGCCCCGGACACTGGAAGATCCACGGCTACAGCAGGAGGCTCACAGAGGAGGTCCTGAAGCAGCTGCAGCAGCAGCCACTTTCACATGCAGCTACTTATAAAAGACTCAAGTCCAAAATGATCTACCTACTACAAAAATGCAAATCATTATTTATTTTCAAAAAAAATTCTTATACCTACAATTATGTTTATGTACATGCAAACCGCATGAGCCAATAAGCACAACACAACACAATTTATCTATGTACATTTTTTGTCATTAACCCGAGTTACTCTTATGACTTGCACTGAATTGATGGCCAGGATGCATATCCGACAATTGTGGTAACTCCCTGCAAGTTTTGTCGTGTTTACTTTCCTGCACTGAGCGCGTTGTTGCGCATGGGCATTCACCTAAGTGTCAGTAAAAACATTACTGAGTAAAACTCAGAGTCATTGACTGTGCCATGTCCAGTCCATGCCTGGATTATTTAAATCCAAATATTTCCCCCTCCTCGTTATAAAATAATTTGCATCCACACATCACGTTATCAATCACATTCCTACATCGTGTCTTACGTCCTTCCTGCCGTTGGGAATAACCAGAAATGGCGAGTTCTATCAGACGCGTTAACGGCACTTTTACAGTCATAGAAGACATCAAGTAAGACGTAGGTTATTACAAGCACTGACCCCGCCCAGCCCTGGTTAGTCCTGTTTAGTCCTGGTTTATTCCGGTTAGTCCTGGTTAAGTCCTGTTTAGGTGTTTCAAGCGTGAGTCCCCCGCATCCTTTGCTGCTCTCTGAAGTGGAGATGTCGCGCTCCGAGCATCTCACAGTGAACAGTTTTTAAGGTAGTATGGAGCCATGCTTCATGATCAAGGATTTAGGGGGGGTACCTGTGGCGTGCAAGAACGCAAAACTCCGATTAGCTCTGTCTACACACAATGCATTAACGATTTTCAAAAATTTAGAATGTGTAATTTTTATTTAATTTAATGCGATCTACCAATACTACCTTTGGCGACACTGGTAATCGCGATCGACTTATTAGCACCCCTGGTCTAAACTGTGTGCTTACAATGTAGAACCGGGTTCGATCCCGGGTTATGTCTTTTTGTAATTATTGCAAATGTTAACACATTCTATGACAATTGCCTAAAAACGGTAGAAAGATGAAGGTCAAACTTTTTTTGCAATTAGACTTAATTGTAAAAATAATCATTTAAACACATGACCCCAATTAAAATAATGTTGTCTCTTTTGATGTGGAACTTTTACATGTTGTCTAAAAATAGGAATAAAATAAAATTGAAAGTATATCCTCTTGAAAAACCCTGAATGTTGATACGCTGAATAATACGTTCCAACATCCATTCTTCCCACTCCTATTTGACACAATAGTTCTTATTTTAATTTTTGCATAAACTATATAATAACATTGCGTTTATTTAGCGTCCGCCAAAGCTATTTTCTCAACGGACATCTCTGATTTCATATATTACAGCATTGTCCTCGCCATAAAACAAACATTAGAGAACAGAGCAGGCTTTAACGACACACACACAGGTACGCGCACACACACACGCACACACATGCACGCGCTACGGGGAAGCAAAAGCAAGGACTGTTTTCAGAGCCTACTCTTTGTTGTCTTTTGGTGTTATGGGCTAATTTTCAATAATATCTAAAAAATTTAACCTTTAATCGAACTGACCTCAAATAAGAAGATATGCTTTATTAATCTCAAACAGAGACATTTACATTCACATTTGCCATGGATAGAAACACTCAGAATTGTGCAAAAAAATTAAGAAATGAAACATGTTAATGCAGGAACATATAAAATTGCATGAACTGCAGTTGTTTAATGAAAATACTTTCTATATGAGAATGAGGAGTCACGTGCCGATTGGGAGGATATGGGGGGGCTCTGAGCCTGTACGACATATTGGCTGCGCAACGGGGCACCCCCCAGAATTCACGCGCTCCTCATATCCAAAGCACTTTAAATTATAACCATTTACGCTTTTCGGCGACAGGACGGATCTACTATACAACAAGGAAAGGAAGACATAAAAACAAATGCTTAAGATAAGGCGAAAGAAAGGGACCGTAACAGAACAACTCATACACAAGCGCAAAACTGAGGTTATTGGAGAACTTGCGACATCAAACATCGACCCATACGAGCTCCCGCACTGGTGTCCAACGCCAGATTTGGCCCTTGTTGTGCAGAATAGGTTTTATTCCTTATTTCTTAAAAGTGTATTATTGTTATTGCTCTGTTGCCTTTGCAGTGTTTTTTTTGTACTTTGCACTAATAACAGTCTTATTTGTTATTATTATTTATGTTATTATTTATTTATTATGTTGTGCAGTTTACATCATGGAAACATTACTTTGAATGCACACGTTTTTTTGCACAGTGTTTTGTGTCCCCTTTCACTAGAAAAAGGATGACTCTTATGATCCATTTTTGCCTATGCTGTCATGTTACATTCTAAACTGTACTTGA